TAATGTTACCTATCATTGAAACAAACCTGCAATTGTTGCAAAAATTTTCAAAGAGAGCCTGATGCCGTCCGATCGATCAGCGAACAATTGGAGGAGTAGAGAAATGAACAAGAGAAATATACCAGCGCCACCCATGCCTTGCACTGCTGTCAACCATTCTAATGAATTAAAATATTTCATTGAAAAAAAGAATTACATCGTTCAATCTTGGTTTAATAAATTATCATCAAAAACTGTTAAAAATTTTGATCGAATTATTTTAGCGGAACAAAAAATTATTTGAGAACATGATTTAGTGTAGCAATATTTTTTACTAACTCTCGTTTCTATAAATAGATGTGTCGAACTCGGAACATTCGGACTAAAGACCAGTAGAGGCATAGTAAGCTTGGCTTTCAGTTTTAGTTCATTTGTCCGTGAAGTAACTGGCGACAATGAGTGTCGTCCCCAGCCACAAAGCCGAGAGGCATACTTGTGATGAAGACATTTTTAAGGAATCTCTGTGATAGTTCAAAATTTTTTTTATTAATTTTTATGTTACATCATTTTCGTGATTATTAGGAGATATTAAAAATCACAACAAAATTTATCTCACATCTTACTTATAAAATAACGGCCAATCTACTCCAATCTAAATGATAAAATTAATGTTTGTCGGGATGTGACGATTAGTCAACTTCTTAGTATTAACTTTTCATTTGGTCGTCTTTATATAACTAAAGTTGGGACGTGCAGGCGAATGGTGGCGTCAAAGGGGATGCATCAATTACATTCGTGTTCTGCTTGATCTGACGACTGAACGCATCAAGTGATAGAAGTATACCATGCAACGAACGTCAATCAAAACTTTTGAATCATAATTACTGACAATTTAATCACTCACATTTTTTAATTGATTGGTTATAAGTTTGATTGAATTAGAGGATATAGAATGAAAAATGTTCCTGGAACTATTCTGAATAGTGTGAAGCTTTAGAATACAAATTTACCGTAAAATTTAAATAAAACAATACAAATTGAAGAAATATGGAAAAAACATTCAATAAAAAGTTATGAAAGACAATTTTAAAACGAAATTTAGCTTTTAAGTGTATATGACATACCTGAAATAGGTTTTGTTTACAACCAACTCAACATTTTTATAACTATAATAATAATCATAAACATTTGACGAACACTGCTAAAGGTATCAAATGTAACATGCCCGAAGTGAGATGGGTAGAAGCCTTTATGTGACAGGCCTAACTGATTGAAAATTAACCCAAACTTGATTTCGTAGATTTAGTGTTTGACCTTCAACTTTTAAACTTTGTAAACAATTTTAATTTTTTAAGAAATTCGTTAGCATAAATGATATGAATGTGCTGTGGTTATTTGATTCTATTAAAATATGACGTTGGTTTATATTTCAAATGACATATATAGAATATATTGTTATATTATATGCATATATATATATATATATATATATATATATATATATATATATATGTTTCAGATGAATCTTTTGAAAACGAAATGATGATAATTTCGCACTATGTCGAATATTAATCATCGGAATTAAAATTCCATTGAATAAATAATATGAATTGCAAATAAACAAATTTACTAATTATTAATGAAATAGCAGATAAATACATTAAACAAATAAATATACAATTCAATACAAAAACGAGTCAGAACATTATATATTAATTAATTTATAAAAGATAATATTAAGTAGAAAAAACGAATAGAACGAGAATAGAGCGAAATAAGGAAAAAATTAGTCAGTTGACAACTAAAAACTAATTATTATTTTTATTTATACAAATATAAATAAGTGTTTAAAATAGTTTATAAAAGAAAAAAAAGTGTATGAATAGAAAATTTTTTAAATAAATTTATAGATTATTCAACTGACAATAATCTTTTCAACAATTTAATTGTCTTTAAAAAAAATTGAATGCAAATTCGTAATAAAATTATGTTATTTTCGAATGAAAATAATTTGACCAATCGTCACCTCATTATTTCCTGGTAGTAAAATAATTAATATTTGACGAATTTTGTCATCCTCCGATCAACCACCGACTAAATGTCAAAAATTGGATAAATTAAATTTAAAGAATATTAATATTATTATCCCAAATAAAATAAATTAATTTTTTTTAAACATAAAAGAGATACATGGTTGTATGTGAATGAATGAATAAATGAATGAATAGATAAATGAATAAATAAATGAATGAATAGATGGATGAATGAATGAAAGAACGAATGAATGAAAAACAGAACGAATAAACGAATGTACGAACATGACGACCAAAAAAAGGGTCGTCACCCACAAAAAACATGTTACAAAATTCTTCCTCTCAGTTAACTGGTCGAAAAAATTTGCTATTTAAATACACATGCGGCCCTTCAAAAGTCAAATAGTTCTCAATGCGGCCCTTCAAAGGTCAAATAGTTCTCGATGTGGCCATTCAAAAGTCAAATAGTTCTTAATGCGGCCCTTCAAAAGTCAAATAGTTCTTAATGCGACCCTCACAGCAAAAAGTTTGCCCACCCCTGCGATAGATGTAATATAACTCCGACCAACTTCATATATTTTTAAAAACTAATTAAATGAAAAGTTGGAATGCGTTTGTAGTATCAAGTCAAATAATCGGTAAGTTACGGCAAATATAAATTTTATAATTTATGTTTAAATATATTTAGATTGATCATTAATTTAAGAATAAGTTTTCGGATGTATTTTTTTAACTTTAATATTCCTTTTTATGTTACATCGTAAAAATGATTTAAATTAAAATTTTATTAAACCAATTTGAACATTCTCGAAGTTTCATTGAAATGCCCTCACAAACATGCGCCTCTTCTTCATGGCTTGCAACGACAATTGTTATCGCTAGTTACTTCAAAGACAAATTGAGCAAGCTTAGTGATTACACATTATTTGAAAACTCAGGTCTATGGTCCGAATGTTTCGCTTTTGACACATACCATCATAGAGATGAGAGTTAGTAAAAGTTATTTATAAACTGAATACTTTGTGTTAATTTTGGTATTTTTGTTTTGACATTTAACATAAGTTACTCAGTCATGATTGACAATAGCATAAATTGATGAAATAAGATTAAGATTGAACGACTTATTTCATTAGGATGGTTGATGGATGGGAGGTGCTGGAATATTTCTCATGCTCATTTCCCTTCTTTTCCATTTCTTCGTTGATCGATCGTACGTACAGCACCAGGCTTTCTATGACCATCTTTTCAACCATCTCAGGTAAATTTTGAGTTAAAAATTATTTTAAATTTATTAACAGGAAGAAATCTGTAAATATTTTAACCAATGTTTGTGTTTATAAGACTTATTTAGGGGTTTTTACAGTTTGCCGTCACGTCTAATGTCAAATTCGTAGCAAATTTAAAAACTACCATGAATAATTTCGAAAATGAATAAGGATTTAAAATAATTTCAGTTTGAATTTAAATTTAAGCTTGACAAACTTAGAAACAAACAAAATCGAAATAAATATTTTGATTAAATAATGTTTTCGTTTTGCAATTTTAATAATTAGTATAATCAGGTGAAATAGATAATGTTGGACCATTCGTAGATTTTTATTCTTACTATTAAAATAATTGTTATTATTATTATTATATTATTATTATTTATTCAATTAAAATTATTTTCGCGGTACCTACTACTGGCTCTAAGTTGTAATGGATAATTGTTGTACGGTTGTTGTTGCTATCATAATTGAGATAATAATTACTGCGTTAACTATGTAATAAGTTATGATCAATTTTCTAGTTAGAAGACATTTATTAACAGCACTGTACAATGAACAAAGTATGGTTCGCTAACGTAGCTAATCAAATTCGCAAACCAAACAATCAGACAAAAAGAAATTATTGATTAAAGTTAATATGGCTATGACAAGAATCAAATTGATGATGATTAAGATATACAACCCAGAAATTCCAAACTGTCTGAATAATTTTTATCTGCCTCTCTCGGCAGATCCTCTCTAAAGATGAACAAATGATGAGTGTCATCATCATCGTCCTTGAATAACACAGAGTATAGGTAAAAAATGTTTTATTTCAAATAATAATAATAATAATAAATAATAATATAAAAAAAATCTATGAAGCTAGGTATTTTCCAAGCTAGGTTCAACAAAAACGCTTGCCATTTTAATATTATTATTAACTACCTCTCACATGGCATTGAATTTTATTTTCTCAACATTAACAAAAGACATTAACGCAATGTAAATATAAAATTATTTGCATAGTCTAATGTCAACAACAATGCACTTTTGAAACATTTTGATAGCTACTTGCTAGTTCTATACTTCTACTTGTGGCCATATATATAGAATAAAATATTCTATATTATATTATAAAACATATGTTTGTAGCATAATCGTTTCAAGAATTTTGTTAACTTTGCCGCTATAGCATTTATTGTTATTTACAACCAAATTAATAGGGAAGCAAGTTTTTAAAATGATATTTTAATGATGAAAAATCATTAGAAAGAGATGAAAATGAGAAAAAATTTCAGGGCTCTAACTTGTTAATTGATATGCTTAGGCCAAATATAAATTTTCTTTGCCCCTCAAAACATTATAAAACGCCAAGTAACACAAATGCAATAAAAAAACGCTTGTAATCAAATCGAAAAATGTACAATACACGAATAAAAAAAAGATTATCCGGTTGCTGTCAACAGGGTATAAAGAATAAAGATCCATATATAAGCACAAAAAATGATACAATATGATTTTGCCATGATTAAGGCCTTTCTAATACAAAAAATCAAATGCTTAATAAATGTTATTTTGCTGCATACAATGTACAAAAAAAAATGTCATAAAACTTTATCGTGTAAAGTTATAAAATAATGTTCCTGTACAGATGATGAAACAATAAAAAAGTACATTCAAGGTCAGTAGTTTGATGATAACTGGAAAAAATTTGACCAGCACACCAACCACCATCCATTCAAAAGATGCTGGCTCTCCTCATCTGCATGAATGAGAGGACGAGAACGACAATGGTGATAAAACCTCCGATGATGAAGAACGCGTAGGACCAATGCAGCTGGAAGTCACTCGCCTTCACTCCATATATTACCACGGTTATAAAAATCATCAAAACTGTTTGGACAGTTTTAATTTAAATTTCAAAATTTATAAAGTTATCATTAAATCAAATTCATAAATTGAATACATTTGAAACAAATGATTTCAGGGCTATCAGGGTCAATTTTATTTTTTATATGAGTAATGCAATCAATCAATCAAATATTAATAGTCCAATTACTAAAGACTCAACTTGGCTAACCAAAATTCGCAAAACGAACAATTATGAAAAAGTAAAAAAATAAAATAAAACGAAATAAAAAAAATAAAAAGGCATTCATGAATATTCAATAAGCAAAACTATGACGAAAAATAACTACAACAAAACTAAAACAATGCGAATATGTATGAAAATTTAAAATGCCCATCATATAACCTGTTGCTATCAAGCAGGCAACCATCATCTTGAGGGTCAGAGACTTGCTCAAGGACGTGCTGTGCAAGAAGTTGTAGAGCAAAATGAGGATGAAAGCAAACGATAAGAAGATTAATGACAAGCATGCCATTGCCTGCACTGCCTTGAACCAATCTGTTCAGGTTAATTTTGTTCTTTTGTCAACAATTCATCAATAAATTGACAAACATTATCAAATGTTATGTTTACAAGTCTTTTTGTTTGATTTTCTAGATTAGTGGTTAACAGGCAATAATGGAAAATCTGCAACATCAAATTTGAAAAAACAATTAACGAATGAATGAATAAAAAAATTTAATTTATCATCTGACCATCGTGTGCAAAAACAGAGGCCCCTGAATATTTATGACTCGCCCAGAGTCCCGACCAGACATTAGTCTTTTGAATGCGTGTCCAACCATCTGACGAGAAGCCGATAACAACGAACACAACCGCGGATAGGGAAGTCCAAAAAATTGCTCCAGATAAACCTTGCAAGTTTATTTCGTGTGTCTCCACTGGCATGTTCGATACAGTGAAACTGCAAATAACATGGCTACTTTTAAATTTTCATCAGGTTGTCACCCATGCATGACAAACAATTTGAACACAAAAATTCAACATAATATATATTATTAAAATACATAAAACAAGTTTGAAAAATGTATCCGGCCACTTACCTACACAAGATGTGAAACCGAATTTAAACAATTGATCAGAAATTGTATTTAAAAACAAGCTAGAATTGAATTAGCTAGTTAAACGAATGAATTGATGAAAAGCTATGAAGGACGAAAGTGCTGTGTAGCACACTTCAAGTTCACTCTTCCTTATATAACTTGAGCCTTTCCTAACTCATGCGTTTGTTAGAAAGCACACATTCACATGTGTGCCATATTTGCGTATGATTCATTAATACAACGTACAATATTTTGATTAATGAATGATTAAGTTTTTAATATTGACATATTCTCAATAGATTTGAAGTTGACGTTTTATAGTTGAAACCGCATATTGAAATTTTAAAAATAATATGTTAAGTTGAATTTTCATAAAATTTTATATTATTTTTTTGGTAATTATTTATATAATAGCCAAATTAAACAAAAATTTTAACCCGAATCTGTCTTCAATCAAAATATCAACATGGATTATATGTTAGCAGCAGTGCATTTATTATTTGTTCAACAGTCTGGCAATTTTCATGCTTCAAATTGATGAAGAAATTGTTTTTACAGTTTTATCTATCCTCATTAAGTGAAATCGACAATTTTTTCATTCCCAAACTTGTTCACATGTCTCTAATGAATAAACAGCTAAATGTATGTCTGGTCTCAAGAGGTCTGTACGTGTACAATAACGTAGCAGCTTCAACAGAGTTGACATTCAAAAGTGTTTTAACTGATGATGACCGGGAAAATTAAGATGAGGCAAGAGTAGGTTGATTAAATGTCAAGTGATTGTTGAATAAGTGAATATTTGTTTGCATAAATTTGTGGGTGTGCTTATCTGCCTGTGATTAATCTATGATCAGTTGGGTACTTGAAATAAAAATAAGAGGTTGGACCTGGCCTGTGACGTCTTTAATTCAAATATTCTCAAGAACATCAAAAAATGGGACTAATTTATGATTTGAATAATTCCATAATAATAATAATGTATATATATAATAAATAAATTAACAACCGTGCCCGTAAGAAGTCAAGAGAATAAATTTGCGTAGAAGCAAAGAATGTATTAGCGAACGAAAAGTTTATGAACAAATAAACAAAGGAATGAAACGTTTCTTGCTCTAGTGATTATATCATAAAATAATCGTTTTAAAAACAATTTTATCGCATAAAATGTTAACAAAAGAATGAAAAATAATGTGCTCTCTGGTGAATTTATAAGCAAACAAATTACAATAACGAAAGCTAATAAAATAAATTATCAATTTTAATTTTTACGATGTTTTACATTTCTTAAGCAATCTAAAAATTTCCTTCAAGACGAGTGGTTCTTATTCGAAAAAAATTGACGAAAGTGAAAATGTCCACAATTAATTTTGTTATTATTTCAAATAGCTATAGCATAAGTCGAACAGGTATACATGAGGATTATAAGGCTACAAAAAAAACAATCCTTCAGTTTAAAAGTTAACAGCTGAACAATTTTTGTTTGCATTGTACATACAGTTGTTTACTTTCAAACGATTCACAAGTACTTTTGGTTGGATAGCTTTGTCTGTGCGAGTTTGGTATGACCAGGCTTAATACTAACATGATAAAATTTATTATTGCAAATGGACAAATTGTTCATTTATAGAAATGTTTTCTAATCAACCTGCTAATAATATATTAAAATATCAAATCATTATATAAGGTATATGTTTCATAAATTTGTTATGTCATAGTAGTCAACAAAAGCGTAACTTTAATTTTATGAATGGTTTCGACTGATGTCAGAGAAATGAACTCAATTAAAAAAAATTATTCCCTTTCAAGTTTTAATTTATCGCTTTTTCAAAATAAGTGTTTCTAAATTTGAAACTGTTTGGAAAAGTAAATAGGCCATAGAAACTTCAACATAAAACAACATTAAGATCGACATTTTTAAGTGGATTAATTTTTGAACTACTTATTTCTTTACAAAGTCAAATCAATACCTCAAATCATTTTTACTCGCATTATTGTCATTAGGTATTATACCAAGAATGTTGTCAGATGACATTAAATAATTCAATATTATCATACGTTACATAATTGCAAAGCGAATTTGTTTTCATTTGTTGACTGGTTTGTCGATATACAGATTAGCATTTAAGTTTTTGGAGATGGTATGGTCAAGTTGACGAGAGGAACGTTGTTGATGGACGTGGGGTCGTAACACTCCTTGCCGTCATTTCCAGGATTCATCTGGTACACCACCAGGAAGTAAGTTATGAAAACACTTGCTATCTGTGAAGAATTTGATGTCAACTCTATACAGTTCAATGATGGCTTTTAGTGTTTTCAAGTATTGCTTAGTAATTTATAGGAAAAATCTCGTCGAAGCTATCTCGGTTGACCGCTGTTCAGTTTATAAGTTTTGGTATTAAATATTTTGAAGTTAAAAAATGAATTGAATCTAACGGTGGTAATTGTTTTTTTGTCGATGGCAAACATGCGGAGGATGGTGAAGCTCATGCCATCCTGTGCGGCGGACCTGACGAGGAAGACGAGCAGGCTGCTGACCATGTCCGACGAACACTCGAACAAATCAATCTTGTGCAACTTTTCCAACACCTTGTTCGCCTTTCGGTAATATTGTATTTTGAAGCAAAATTACATCGACCTTAACAGCTTAAATTAATAAATAATAGATTAATATATAATACAGTTTTCATCATTATTTCGTTTCCGTGTACAACTTTATGTTAAAGTGTTGTGTATTTACAACGGTTTACTTAAATAAATGTCATTTTTTTAATAATGGTTAGATTATTATTAATCAACAAACTGCGCTAATATGTTTTATAATAGATAAGTACATTTTCACATTGTGAAAAACTAAACTTGATATATCAAAGAAGTAAAGAACGTACATAATTGCTCAAAAGAACGCAGGCTATCGCTATGCAGGCCAAATATGATAGGCTGAAGGCACTCCACAGGACCATGAAGACCACGTACATCGTGTAACTCTGGAAGTCGCATGTACGTAGCAGAAGAACATACAAGCTCACGATGGCTTCCATCAAAAATCCTATTATTCCGATGCCATTGCAGACGCAGATGAAGCTATCAACGTTTCGGACAAGCTTGGTTGTCGATTGATATCTTTGGCGGAAATATTCAATTGAGTTTTTAGCAAATGCTCCATCGTGATCGCTGATGACTTTTTCTATACTTTTACAGTACAATTTTGTTGATTTTTTTGACAAAGTATTGATATCTCCATCTTGAGAATTGTTGAACCAAGCTGCTTTCGATGGAGCAATCGAGTTTAATTTGTGGAAGAAACAGGAGAAAATGTTATCATGTTTTATTTTAATGCTACCACCATGAATGGTTTTGAGAGATGTTTTCAAATCATTCTCCAAATCTTGAAAACACTTCCTCAATGTTAGCGACACTAACATTGTGAATGCGACGGCAAACACTGCAACTGCCGGCTCGTATGTAAAATAAATTGAAAGAAGTATTTTGAATGCAATATTCAAGTTCTATGAAAAAATGTTACAAATAAGTTTTTAACAATTAATTAGTTAATTAGTTTGAAAAAAAAATGATTTACCGAATTTTCATATTGAATCCAAGAATAAAGTGGAGTGGATGCCACTTGGAAAGCCCAAACGTACATAAACATACAAGCTATCAAACAACATGACGCCACCAGTACAGAAACCATTGAATAAACCGCTAAAAATGTCGACGCTTTATATAAGAATTTAAAATCATCTCCTCTGATTTTTGAAAGTCCTGTGATTATGCTTTCCATTCTTCCAGTGTAGCAAGCATAATAAAATGCAGATTGATAGCATGCGGTAAGAAGCGAATATATGAATATATCCATTTTGAGAAAGAGATTTGCATTGAGACGATCTTTGCTGTTGAACAATGTCAAGTATCTCAAACAATTTACCCAATGCATTATTAAAATTACTGTGGGGTAAAATATTTTACGAAAATTTTTTTTTGGTCTGACTCCATTTTGCGCTGAATTAATTTGAGGTTTGTTTAAACTTCTTTCCAACTTCAATGAAAGGTCTGCTTTCCTCCAATTGCATGGAATCTCGATCGTTGAAATGTTTACTCTACTTTCATCATTTTTATGCTCTGTTCCATCACCGATCTCGGAAATTGTATTAAAAGCTTCTTCTTCACGGCTGATATCAAAGTACATTCCAAAAAATTTCAATCCCATCAAGAATATCCTCATAGAATGGCGCGCCAACTTTCTCTTTTCATTATGGTCAGATTCATCGACCATAGAAAAATCAACTTTAGACTCGTGCGTCCGATCTTTGACGCTGCTATTTGCACTGTCCTGCATGTTCATCTCGCGACGAACTCACTTCCTACACTGAATAATTACTTTCTACGTGAAATTGTTTTTAAAGCTACCAGACATTTGAAACATAATTAAATAAATACCTAATGAAGGTTTTTACAGAAAAAGTAAAGTCCATTAAAACAGTCAATAGATTTTTCGCTACAGAGACAAAATCGATTTTTATTTTAAAATGCTCAAAGTAAAAGTATATGTTGTTTAAAAATGTTTATTTTAAAATGTTTAAAATAAAAAAAAAAATATGATTAAGTTAAGTTGTCGTGTCGTGTCGCAAGCGCTTTTGTGTCCGTTGGAAATCCATAAAATGATATTTAGACAGAAATATGATGTCGCATTTTGTTTATTCAAAAGTTAGTTAAAGTAATTGTTTCAAAAATATTTAAAAAAGTACAGATTTCAAAATTGTGCTAAATTATGTGTCGCTTATTAAACCTCTCTGTATAAAACCTCTTATATTAAGTTTTCTTGGTTAGACTCTCTTGCTTGTTCTACTCTTCTTAGAGAATTTAGCATATTTCAGACAAAGAAATGTTTGATATACGTATTTGGCGTTAGTTGATGAATTAATATTATTTATGAATTAACGTTTTTTTCTCAAAACCAATTTTTATCTCCCATCACTTTGAAAATTTACGTTAACTTGTTCCCATCAACTTGTTACTTGTATGTATAACATACACCTCTATTATTATAGTGATCCTTCTATCTTTTTTCCAGACGTTGTTCAACTAAAAGTAAATTTAAGTTTTCAACTGAAATCTTGTTGGTCATATAACACAGAGCCTACCGTATGATTCGAATCTAAACATTTACTGAAATATCAATTACCTGGGCGATACAAGTGCATTGTCATTATAGAGCAACATTTAAACATTGAAATAGTGAAAAAAATTATTGTTTTGAAAATATCAAACAAAATATTAATATACCGTCCATTATGTGTAGGCCTAAATATATACTACCTAAACGTCACTTTGTGGTATAAATGTTTGTTTGCTTGCTTGTAATAATTTCTCTTGTTTGAATTATTTTTGACGAAATAAAAAATTAAAAATGTTTATCCTGAATTAAGAGGACGTGATATTTTTAAGGGAATCGTTGCTGCAATTCATACCCTCAGATGGATTCATTTGGTATATGACGAGGAGATACGTTACGAACAGGCCCGCTATCTACGATTGATGATTTAAAAATTTAAATTTCAAAATTATATCACCATACAATGTTTTTGTTCTGCAATTATTATTTTAATTCTATTCTAGCATTTTGTTTATTTCGGCTTTTCTGTATTTTTTATAATTCAATGATAAAAATTTGAGATTTCGATTCTTAGAAAGCATTTGTGCATTCCACGATAAATAACACTAAATTAAGAAAACAGTGTTGATTAATTTATGACGTGTTTGAAATAATTACGAAAATTTACACATATTTTTACAACTAACGGTCATAATTGTGTTTTTGTCGATCATGAAGATGCGGAAAACGGTGAAGCCCATCCCCTCCTGTGTATTCGATCTGCTGATGAAGACGAGCAGGTTGTGTCCAACCTCAGCCGGATACTTCAACAAATCTATATCGTGCAACTTCTCAAGCACCTTGTTTGCCTTCAAATTTGAAACATCGTTATACGTCAAACGCCATTTTTATTATTTAAAAAAATTAAATCAATCTTATGTCATTGTCGGCAGGATGACTGTTCCGTAGTCAGAGTGCAATATCATCATTATTTAGATCGGCTTCTATAGAATTAGCGTTGTTGCACAAATTTAATAAAAATAGATGTGTAGGAGCGGTATTACATATAACAACAAGCTTAAAATCAAACTTAATTGAAAATTGTTAACAAATGTTTTTAAGCAAACCCACAGAATTATTGACAAGAACTCCTGCTGCAGAGATATAGATCAAGATCGAGATGCTCACAATAGTCCAGAAAGCCATGATAATAACGATGGTTGCATAGTTTTCAAAAAGGCACGTGCGCAAGATGAGAGTGTAAAAAACCATGATGGCTTCCAGAAGAAATCCCGTTATTCCTATTCCAATGCAAATGCAAATGAAGCTGTCGGCTTTTTTAACCAACCTTGCTGTTGACTGGTATCTTTGACGAAAATATTCAATCGAGTTGGTTAGGAATATTTTATTTTCGTGGTCCTGAATGTGTGCGTTCAGAATAACATCTTCACAAAACTTTTTTGTCAGTTTGCAGTTGGAAGTTCTTGATCGCAAAATAAGACTCCTGTCTTTCATCTCATCTTTACCGGATGAAAAATTTGGTTTGGTTTCTGTAGCCTCGTTAACTCTCATTACTCCATTTTCTCGTGTATATGCACTTGGAACAACCGAATTTGATTTAAAAGTCAGTGATGAAAACTTCTTCTTCTTTTCCAGTTTGCTGTAAACACCAGGAATCGTGATAATCGATTGTTTTAAATCGCTTTCCAAATCTCTGAAACATTTCCTCATTGTAAGTGATACCAACATAGTGAAGGATATAGCAGATACAGCAGCTGGTGGCTCAAATACAAAAAACACCGTGATAAATATTTTGAGGGCAATATCCAGTTTCTTCAAAATGAAAAAAATACATTAAAACAAAAAAAAAACAAAATGTTATGAAATAATTTTCTTACCCAATCATCGATTTCAATCCAAGAATAAAAAGGGGCAACCATCTTTTGGAACATCCAAGTTATTTTAAAGGTTCCGAAAATCAGCAGACCCGAAGCGATAATGGAGAAACAAATGGAACCAACCGTCAGAGCGGTGGCACTTTTGCGCAAGTACTTGCAACTGACTCCTTTTGCTTGCGACAGTCCGGCAAATATTTTGTCAATTTTCCCGTTATAACAAGCATAATAGAACGCGGTTTGATAGCTCGCGGTGATGAAAATATATATGAGAATAATTAATTTGAAAATGAAGTCTGAGTTCAGTTTCTCTCCTTGCTTGAATAAAGTGAACAATCTGATGCAATTAAACCAATTCCATATCAAAACCACGGTAGGGTAAAACATTTTTAAAAACAATTTTTTCGGTCTAGCTGCATTTTGTTTGTTTTTATTCTGTGTTGAGTTTTTATATCTTTCTAATTTAATCGCTTTATCTTCCATGTCAGCATCCTTTTCCAAATTTACTATTGAAACGTCAGTACTTGTCCCATTGTTAAGTGCAACCACGTTTGTTGCGCGAGAATCATCTCCTTCTTCATTTGTGATATCAAAATACATTCCAACAATCTTCAGCCACATCAAAAACACTTTCAAACTGTCGTGCACTAATTTTTCGTTGCCATCAAAATCTTCTCGCTCACAATTTTCAGTTTTTTTTTGTTCTCGTTCAACAACATTATCCTCGACTTCTGAAAAATTGGTTTCCATTTTGACGACTCGAATAAAGTTTCAACGAAAATTATTTATTTTATTTATATGGGCCAAGCAAATGTAATATTTAACCGAATTGATTAATAGCTAATGGCATGTGGCTGGCTTTGTTTAGATTGCACGTTGGAATCCATAATATGCATTAACCTGATCAATGAACTGTGTGATACAAAAATGTATCTATGTATCTACTCATGGGCAGAAACTCTTACATTTACATTTGCTGCGTATCTCGATGTAAAATGCAAATTATATATATTGAACCACAACATAATGACTAACAAAAAAATTCAATAAATAATAATAGAAGCGTAAATATGGTTGAGTTGTCGCTTCCCAACAGATTTTTTTATAACTCTCGATTCTTATTGTCTAGAATCTCGTTGAGTGACAAAACGCAAACATTTACCGTCAAATTTTTCGATTTGCATTCCAGTTGAAAGCTCGGCTGCTACCAGATTAATATAAATATTTTAATAATGTTTTTGGTACCATTTTTAATCATCATGCAACAATATGTTGACTAATTTTCACTGAAAATTTTTAAAAATATTTCAAGCCAATCAATCATTATACTGAAACGAGCCTGACTTCAAATTTTCAGTAAAAACTTGTAGAAGGAAATGAGTAACCTTAAAAACTTTTCTCTCGCAGGACTCTGACGTTGATGACAAAAACCGGCCTCCCTGCGGTATGTAGTTTGTCTACACTTATGGATATTAAATAAGGGAGTTTGGAAGCATTGCTGTTGGGGCTGGGTGAAAATATTCCTTTTGACTTGGCTGTTTTTAGAATTTCGACTTAGGCTGATACTTACTAATAACATTAATTTCTTTAAAAAATTGCGCGCTAACCAAATGAAAATGCTGTTTGTTGCAAAGTCCAAGACACGAACACTTTAAATACATTATGTGTTGCACACGCAGTTCTTGTAACACAGATTAATTCAAATGAATTTAAACAGTTGACTGACAAGAAGCAAAAGTAAATGATTAAACATTATACACAATATAACTGAATAAATTGTTAACTAAGAAAGCAACAACAAAAATTCCAGCTATTGCGACATGAAATAAGAAAATCAAATTGTTGTATAATGTTTAAACTCTAGTATGCCACAAACAAATAGCAAGGTGATCTGTGATGTGAGGAAATAATGTATAAATTGATTTTAAGTTTGAACACTTAAAATGTTGAAAAATGATTTATATTATTATAAATAAATGAGCTGATTTTGATCCACTTGGTGAATGTCGAATCGAGTAAAATAAAAACGAATGAGAAAATGAGGCTTAATTTGGCCCTTTTAGCCATAAATTTTAAATCTGTTCCTCTAATTTGAGAGAAGCTAGTAGCCAGATATTATCATATCCATTCTTCTATTACGACATGCGCAATAAAACCCCATGTTTGACATGCAGCCAAGCCATAGTATATGATGACTATCACTCTGAAAAATAAACCGGGGTCAAAACTAATCTCATCACAAAGCAACGCGAACATTCTGAAAAAATTAAGCCATTGTAATACCATAATTATAATCGAATAGAGAGATTTGCGAAGACCAGTAGTTGTGAAACTATTAAAGTGGTTAATTTCAAAATGGGTATTTCAGACTTAACCTTTTCGACAGTTCGTGCTTTGTCGTTTCTTGAGATAATTGGAAATTTGATCTATCTTACTATACCTACTTTCAAAAAAAAACTCCAGAGATTCTCATAAATGAGATTTGAGAAAAGGTTTAAAACGTTTGTAAAATTATTTTCTACTAACATCGTAATCGCATTTAACCGCTCAATCTTCCTCGACAGTAACTTTAGGTGATTTCGAACTGAAATAAGTCTCCCCATCCCTAATATTCTTTTATGGGCCATATAAATTTTTTTAAATAAAAAACTATTTCGTCTCAAAATTCTTTCGACTTTTTTTTATAAAATCACCCAACATGCTTCCATCACGGGACTAATGTTAAAACTAAACTAAGAAAAAAAGATGGAGGCACCAATTTATCAGCGAGCTAATGCATCAACCGCTAATTTCACCGAGCCGAATGCTGACGGTCGATATTGACCCCTAGCCGTAGTATATAATTATTCTTCTCGCAGCGATTTTGGTTGGTCGATGTATACTTGTGCTCCTCACGGCAAATTTGTAAAAGCCAACACATTAATATAATAAAGCAAAAATAGATACAAATCCGAAAAGCACGATCGTTAAAGTAATTATTTTTAATAATTTGATAATTGAAATAATATAATTTGGTAAATAAGAAATTTGTTGAAAACACATTTCAAATTAATCGTGAAATACACGCTATCAGATTTAAAAAAATCAAACCACAATAGAATAGTTATTCTTTTTTTTATTTCCTTTTAAATTGACGAGAATGGTCTTCCTCACTTGAATACCTTTTCATTCTGCTATGTTCTTTCACAACTCGCTCGTCACTCTTCAACTTTTTGGAATTATTCTCGTGTACGAAACGACGATGCTTTTCATGCATTCGAGCAACTTTACTACTTTTTTCATCGTTGGAATCAGATTGCTCAGATGACAATGAACTGCTAGATGTGTCGTGTCGCCTTTTTTCGGTCTTTTCAATTCTGCTTTTTTGTTTGCATCTAGTAGATGGTTCATCTCTTCTGCATTCAACAATCTGACTTTTAAGCTTAGCCTGACTATATTTCTTTTCTCTGTTAGATTTGCTGTTTTCTTTAATTTGATCAACGTCAGAATCTTCACTTTCGTAGCGGTTTTTGTTCCGGTCGATTCGCGTTTCTTTTTCATGGCTTGAATTTCTATGCATCCTCTGATCGTTAGGATCTTTGTAAGAATGTCTATTCCTGCGGTAACTTTCATCCTCTGCATTTTTCATTTCTTTTCTGCTCTGGTGTCTATCTCTCCTTCTCAAACTCTCACCATCATCATCATCATCCACCAAACGACTTTCGGAGTGTCTGGCACCATCATAATCTAAATTTTTGTGCTTCCTCATCCTATCATCCTTTGAAGCGACATACTTTTCACTATCAAGATGCGATGAATTTTCGTGGTCAATGTGTTTTCGGCTCTGGTTCCTATCTCTCCTTCTCAAACTCTCATTATCATCATCATCATCCTTGATCAAACGACTTTCAGAATGATGTCTGGCATCATCATAATCTGAATTTCTGTGCTTCCTCATCCTATCATCTTTTGAAGCGACATACTTTTCACTGTCAAGATGCAAAGAATTTTCGTGGTCAATGTGTTTTCGGCTCTGGTTCCTACTTCTCCTTCTCAAACTCTCTTCATCATCATCCTTGATCAAACGACTTTCAGAATGATGTCTAGCTCCTTCAAATTCTAAATTTCTATGCTTCTTCATCCTATCATCTTTTGAAGCAATGTACCTTTCACTGTCACGATGCAATGAATTTTCGTGGTCAACGTGTTTCCTGTGCTTTGATTTTTTCTTATCAGCTGCATCAACATCCTCTGTATTATTTTGTTGGTGGTCGCTAGATCTTCTGCTCCTGTTACTACTTGTTTGTTTGTTAATGCCAGATTCCATCTCTACATATTGCTTTTTGTCATCGGATCTTTTTGATTTTTTGTTATTATTTATGTCACTTTCATCATTATCTGCTTTTCTTGTTTTACGTTTTGCATTTCCGTAGGGCTCCGCTTCATGATGTTTCCTGTTTAAAATTAAATACAAATCACTTAATGCATACACAAAATAAGCTACTGCAACTAAGGTAAAAAGATGACTGCTAAAAATTAAAAATTAACAAAAATTAAATTACTTTGTTTTATTTTTTTTCTGTTGCACCTCACCATGATCATCTTCACTGGATGATAACGACGATGACGACGACGAACTCGATGATGAAGATGAATCACAATCACTATCTTCTTTCTTGTCATTTTCCTCTTCAGACTCATCTTTTAGTATTCTATTCGTAATAAATTTATTTTGGTACATATAAATGAAAATGGCAAACTTCAATGAATTCAGTAAAATAAATTTTGCTCCTGATAATGCAACACCAAACGCCACATTAGTATGTCCTGTCAATTGTGCTAAACTCCAAACAGCAAAAGATAAAAATAAAGACAAACCCATATTTCATTTGGGCCATGGCCAAATTTCTAGAAGCCTCTTCTTTGGCTTTTCTTTCAGGATCAAATGAACTTCCATCTTTGAAGAACTCTGAAATCCCAAACGCCAGCTTCAAGCTGTTGTTGCGAGCTTGATTGGCTTCTGCTATTTGATGAGTTGCCTTGGCACTGAACAGATTTATAAACATTTTTCATTGAAAATGGTTCACGAGATCACAGTACATTTAAAAAAAGCATTAACATTATCACTATAATATAGTAATTATAATTATACTCATTATAATTATATATATTATTATTATAATATATAATTATACTATAATATATTATAACATCGACTTATTGGGATATATTTATAATTCAAAAGCAACGCCAAAAATTAACAGATAAAAAACCAGAAAAAAAGAAATTTTATGAAGACAGACCCAGCATAATCACTGAGCAAAAAATAATTTCTATGGAAGGTTCAAATGTCATTGTATAATTTATAATATTTATAATTAAAATGCATGATGAAAATAATTTTGTTGAATAAACAAATCCATACACAAGTTGCACATGTAAAAAGTTTGTGGTGCATGTTTGAAAAATAAAAAATTAAAATTTGGAGATGGTTTTGCTTCAATCAAATTCAACAGTAAGAATAATTACAAGTTCTTGGTAAAAATTTTTACATTTTCCTTTGTCAAAAATTTAGTAGACGTTGAGAAAAAATTTTAAATGAAGCAATCTAAAGCTTTAAACATACATTGGTCGGCCATTTTCATCCAGTTCAATTGATGAGTTCGTTGATTCTTCCTTTTGCATCAACATCTTGCGGAAAGCTGATACTTTTTTGGTGATTTCATCTTGCGTGTATCTGTTTTTTATTAAATAACTAATTGCTGATAATTATTAACATAATAAAAAAATTTAATGTTAATAATAAAATAAATATGTATAACTTAAGTCTTAAATTCATTAATTTACTTTTACATCCTTAGTAAGTTAGTTTAGCTTTTGCCTTAGTAGTTTAGTTAATTTTTAGTAATTTTGTAGTAAAAATACACTAAATTTTAAATTTTATAGCTGCTTTTTTTAACCATGGGCTAACGTTAAGTTAAGATTTAAAATTTAATTAATTATTAAATCTAAATGAAACAAAATGGCCAACCCTTGATCCTCCATTAGTTCCTCCATTTCAAGACATTTTAGCTCGATCTTTCGTTTTCTGTCGTGGATCAATATTTCCTGATTGGGTTCCTTATTCAGCTGCCAGTCAAGTTTTTTAATTTCTTCCTCGGATTTGTAGTCAACTCGATCCTTGTGACGTTTAATGAATGATAAATTGCGTTGCACGAATCCATTTGTTCCGCTACCACGAGCTGTTTCCAACCCTATTCCGTTGTACATTGTTATAGAAAATAATAAAATCGATTCGGAAACTTCTATTGGTATTGGTCAAATATTTTCAAGTACGTAGTTCGGCGATTCCAAGATTAAATTTATCGGGAGAAGGCAAAACAAACACAGCAGAAGTAAACAATAGCATAGACGACAAAACATTCTAAATGCATCCTCTACAACCATTGACATTAAATGAAATTGAGCAGGTCATATATATATATATAGAAAGTAACATGTTATGTTTTCTCTTTTTCGCTCTCTCTCTCTCTCTCTATATATATATATATATATATATATATAGAGAGAGAGAGAGAGAGAATACGTATTCTAATAATTTACTTATAAATTTATGGCGTAACATTAATCAAACATAAATTATCTACACATTGAACATCGTTAAAGGAACTCTCTGTTTCTATAAGTTGAACATGTTTATTACCATCCTGACATAGTCATCACGGTCGTACGGTCGTCACTGAGTCATGCATGACTCTCAACTTAAGAGTCTGAAGTGACATCGCTTTGAGGGCTTGAGGTCTTTAGATAGCTACTCGTCTTCGATAAGTAGCGTCTTGGCAAGCATCGCGGACGTAGTGTTGTCAACAACTTCGAGTAAAACTTCATACAGTCTATTGAAGTATATGGTCTATTGATGTCACATTATGGAGATTCTAACTGGAGCGGCTCGAACTAAACAGATGTACGGTCTTTGAATCACAAAACTTTATTTTAATATATTATTACATCGTAATGCAACGTAACTGTTGTATTCATTATATACTTTATTGTATTTATTGCATCTTACTGCGTAGCAATCTAAGCATACGGTTGCATTGGTTGAATTGCACAGTGAATATCTTTGGTTAATGTCAGAAGTAGATTGTTTTTAAATCTATGATTTCGCGTTCTTACTGACGCCGTCTTTTAAAGTTTTCGCTGCGAAGTGGTTATTTATTTATTTATTATGCCTAGCGTGGGTTTAACTTCCTATAAGGCCCATGTAAATTAAAGTCTCGATTAATATTTGTACCGATTAAATTTTTTTTATATGCACTGAGAGTTGTAAGTAAAGTATCAAAATTCAAAATCAAATCAAGTATGCCGCTGCCGCATCAAGATTTAGAATCGTTAGCTCAAACGACCGGCCTGCATTGGTTCAAACATGTCGTCAAGTGTAGTTTTGATTTGCACGACCAGATAGTGGAGATATTTATGAGGAGTCACGAATCCGAGGTTCTTGAATTCTTGACTGGGAAACGAGTTGATGAGGTTACTGGCATTTCTATGTTGGGCATTTACTTGAGAAAAATCGGTGAAACCCCTCTACCTTTGTTTAGGATTTATTCAACAGAACAGGTTTCTCTTTTTATTGTTTTAGTAATTTAGTATGCATGTGGTGAACGTAAAAAAGTGTATGTTTGTTTCCATATTATAGATTTTCATGGGTAATTGACCAACTGGGTAATTAAATTTATTAAACATTAAAATTGTAATATATATTACAATCTTAAATATTACAAAATTAATAATAATGTAACTCAGTGTTTTTTTAAAATGACCGCTAAGTAACAAAAATCAGTTTTTTGCTAACAAATGCAGCCATGGTAGATTTAAGAAGCGATGCAGGGATTGATGCCCTCCGCCAGACAATGAAAGAAAAAATTATTGTTAAATTGAAGATTCTGTACTAAATATTTTACCTTACGATGTAATTATTAAATTAAATAGAAATAAGAAAAAATCATCATAAACTTTAGAATTTTAGAGATGAACACATTTTTCTCCACTGCAAATTTGAATTTTTGGTTAGCAGACCAGACCAACAACAAAAATCAGAAATAAAAATTTATAAAATGAATGAATTTTTGATATTTATAAATATGGCTAGTGGGGAGATATATTTTTTACTTTACTTAAAAGATTGAGATAACATTGGCCAACAACTATTTAATAATTACTCAGCATTAACTAATAAACAATAACATTAACATAATTATAATAATTATTAGTGAAATCATCATTTGTTTTATTTCAGCCAAAATTTTATTCCATTGAAATATTGGATGCCAATGAAAAAATTGATTCTGTTAACAAAACAACAGGAATTTTGTTTTTGTTTCAACTTCCAGAGAATGAAATTATTTCAGCACCACGTAATTATGAAGATGATTTGAATGAAGCATTACCAATTGGACAGATTTCATTATCTGAAATGTTTTCATATGGAGCTCATTTTCAACATATTGTCATTTATGATGATTCTATCAACGTTTTATCTGACATATTTAATAATGTAAACACTTTTTTTCGGTTTAATGTTCAGTAGAATTGTTTGTTTTGATTTGTTTTTTAGATTTTCATGCCCATGGTAAATTACCAAGAACATTTGGGTGATGTGACAGAGGAAGAAGTGGTCCTATCTGCAAAAGAAGAAAAGTAAATATTAATTATTTTCATTTGTTCTTAATTACACAACTCTGTTTATTTATTTTTCGTCATCTTAGAATTTCTGAGCTTCTCTCTTTTATGTAAATATATATTCATAGAACTATTGACAGATTTTTAGTTGAATATTCAAATGAAATCACACCATGCATAAACAACATTGGGCTGCTTGAATACATTTGTCTCTAAAATTTTGTTTATAAAATTTTTTTGTTAAACTTTATGGTCTTCCATCAGAACAGCTTAATCAAACAACGTTTTTTATTTTTAACTGTTTTTAACTTATGAATATCATTCACCATTATATCAATTGTAAACTCAAATCTTTTTTAGTCTGAAGCTCAAAAATTGAAAGCACCACTTATAGTTGAATAGCTATTTATCTTTATCTATATTTGAAAAACTGAATAAAATTACGCTTAAAATTACGTGCTAAAATAAAACTACGGATATTATACGGAATACAATTAAAAACAAACGACTTAAGTTGCAAAGTAACAAAAAGAAAAACGAAGCAATAAACAGATATATAGAATCAAAACGACACCATTCAATTAACGTTTCTCAAGTTGAAAGATTTGCGCGATCAACAAAAAAAAAAATTGTTCAATTCAAAAGTAGGATATAGCCATCTATTTTGGCTTCAAAGATAGTGCCTACTGTTCAAAAAACGTAGCGACGCAACCGATGCAGAAAATAAGTAGCAACGCTACCGCTACTTCGCTATTTACGAACCTATATTTCACGTATTAAATCGTTCTTATTAATTGACTGTTCCCAACTTACAATGGTGTGATATTATTCTGTGTTCGAGAATTGCTATATAAATTTGATATTAATCTTGTCCCATTTTAGTACTTGATTATTTAAAATTATAGCAGCAACTATCTCCATTTTTTGACATCCTCAATTGAATATTGCATTATTTACTTGGGGATGCCAATAATTATTATATATCATTATTTTAGTTATGCAAACGTTATGAAAAGAGACGTGGTAGCCACACATTTTAAAAATTTTCAAGAAGCTATGAGAACAACAAAGGAAAAACTTGAGGGTGTTCTTCAACTGACTGTTTCAAATGAACTGAAAAATATTGAACTAAGTGAATCAGTTGATCGAAGTTTGTTACCACTTATAGAGAAGATGTGTATTACTTGGTTAAGCCAGGTTTTAAGCTAGAAATTTTTTCATTTGAAATAATTTTTTAGCTGTTTATTTTAAATCTTAGCTTCAAGATTCACTGAGTGCACTTGATGAAAAATATTTTGTTGGGTCTAGTCCTTTAAATGAATTGGAATACTGGAAAGATCGTTACACTAATTTGGATCTGCTTTCTAAACAGTTGAAAAATCCAACAGTTGCTTATATAATTAACGTTCAGAATAAAATTAATGGTCTTATGACACCTACTGTTGAAAGACTTGAGAGTTTGCTCATTGAAGCAAAAGAAAACAACCGATTCCTTTCAACGTGTGAACGGCATTTTAAAAATATTGAAATGGGAGCCAACTATCAAGTAAAGTTTATTTTTAATGTACAAATGTTAAACGTTAAAATGATTTGACATCAAAATTTTCTGCAGATTGTTATAGAATCTATCGTTCCATTGATGAAATCATTACGGCTAATTTGGATGATTTCAAGACATTATAACAACGATGAAAGAATGATCTCCTTGATGGAAAAAATTGCAAAAGTTTTAATTGATAGAGTCAAAAAAGTTAACAGTTTTCAAACACTTTTCATGGAAGGACTTGATGTTGTAAAAAGCAGAACATCCAATGCGGAAACTTTGTTGAAGTTATGGAAACAAGCATACTTAGAGACAAGACATTTCATTGAAACTTCAGGTAGAGGAACAAGATGGGAATTTGATCGTAAGAGATTATTTCAACAAACTGATTATATGGCAGCTATCAGTCACGATATCAATGCAGCTGTGCATATCATTGATGAATTTAATCAATTGTATGAATTAAATTTATTTACCGTAACTATTAAGCCTAGTAAAATTGCTGAAATGAAACAAACCATGGCTTCTTTGCAAAATTCATTTCAAACATGTAAATTTGATCCATTTGATTCCACTAATGAAAGGGCATGGGTTTTTAAGATGGAATCTTTTTCAAAAGAGTTATTTGAATTTGAGGTTACTTCTCAACTCTACATACAAGACGCATTCAGAAACATAAGATCCCCTGTTATGGGGTTGCAGTTATTCAAAAATCTCAATATGGTTCTTGAAAGATCCTCACTTACTAAAATGCTCAATGAAAAATTGAAAGATATTAGCAATAGCTTTTTTTATCAAGTAAATAAAACAAGACAAGATTTTGAAGACAATTTTTATAATCCACCTCTTTTTAAAAGTCAGCCGCCTGTAGCTGGAACTATTAATTGGCAGAGATTTCTTTTTGTGAGGTTGAAAAACACGCTTATTAGCTTATTATATGATTCAGATTGTTTAAGCATAGAAGAGGCAGATAAATTAAAAGATACATATTTAACATTATGTAAAGAAATGAAGCAATATTCGCAAAAAAAATATTCAGAATGGTATGAAAAGGTCGATCAAGAAATGGAACAATTACTAAAATCTCCTGTCTTAGCATTTCCTTATTTCACTCAGCTACAGAAACTTGAATTTTCTCATAGATCCACGCAGAATCAGTTCAGTTCACTCACAGCTGATGCTGGCCAATCCAAAGACTCTATTACACATAGCCTTAAAAGTATGAAAATTTCCACTAAACCGTATCCAAAGTTTCCAAAATATGATGTTTTACCTGCTATAAAATCTTCATCACAAGATGAAAAAAGTTCAGATTTTAAAAATAATTCAAGTAATAGTAATAAATCATTTGATGACAATAACAAAATAAATAAAGAAAAAAAATTTGTGAAAAATGTTCAAAGCAGCAGCACCAAAAGTTACAAATCTGTTACCGTTTCAAAGTTTCCTGTTGGGAGAAAGCACAACTTGCCAAAGTTAGAGATATCTTCTTTATCTGTAAGGCTTCCTAAAAAGATTAGTGTTAATAAGGGAGCACAATCAAAAGCTGTTCCTGCTGTTTTTATAAATGACAATTTGTTTGCTAAAGATGGCATGAGCTCGGTTGACTTTGAATTTTTAAAGCAACATCATTTAGAAGTCAACTTTGATCCGTATATATTTGAAGTCATTATGGAAGCTAAGTATTTAGCAGGAATGGGTTTCAACATTCCTGAAAGTGTTAAAACAGCTGTTTTATTAGAACAGGATTTTAATGAAAGAATTTTACTCTTGAAAAAATTTCTCAACGTTTTTCATGAGGAAATAAGTAAAGTCAATGAGGTTGATTTCATGGTTCTAGAAGACCACATAAAGGAACTATTTCGAGTTGTTTTTTCAGGAATGAAACGCATAAATTGGAGATCTGCTGGTGTTAGTGATTTTGTAGAACGCTGTCATGAACAGTTGGAGGGATTTGTGTCGGTTATGTCTCAATATAAGAAAAATATCAAAAGAATTGAAGATCGATTGGAAAATATAATAGATGCAAACTATTTTTCTGACAAAGTTAACTTCAAAGTTGGGGTAGTACTGGATTGTAAAGACTATTTTGATCTGGTGAATGCAGACAGGGAGGAAATAACGGAACGTCTTATTCAAGATTACAATGACATCACAAGCATGGTACAGCATGTGGAGTTCGTTATATGGAAAAGTAGTTCAGGAAAATGTTCCCGATTGAAACATTTTTATTTATATTATGAAAGCAGAATTTTACAAGCATTAACTGCTATGGTTATGACGAATTTAAACACATTCATTTGTCTCCTTTCTGGACAAAAATCTTTGTTTCAAATTCATGGAGTGCTTTATCATCCATATTTAGAATTAAATCCAAGCAATGTTAATGTATGAATAAATTTTTATTTAATGTTGAAAAACTTAATTAAATGTTTTTTTTTACAAATTCACCAGATATTAAGATACATATCACAATGTGCCGCAGACTGTATATTCACAACAAAATTATTTCCTCGTTGGCTCAATGCATCCGCAATTCCAGTGTCACTAGTTAAGGAAAGTTCAGTTTATGTGTATTCTTTCTTAAACGACATAGCCTTAAATCCTGATATAATTAATCTTCTGCACAAAATTCAATCTATTGCTGATAATGCTCTCACTACAGCTAAAAATACTCTTAAACCCTGGAAAAGATTTGAAGTTGTTTGGCAAAGTGACAAGGATTTAGTTGTGTCAGAATGGATTGAACAGGTATTGCCAAAAGCCTGCAATTATGATGAAGTCTTATGGGATTTGAAAAACCAGCTTGCAGAGGTCTATTAAATGTTTGATTTTTTAAATAAAAGTTTTAATGAATTTTTATAAATTTTGTTCGTTGTCCACTTTTGTAGATTAACTCAGAAGTTCTGCTATTTGATGTTGACTTTTTACAAATGAATTTGTCAGCCCTTGCATATGCAGTTAAAGAACATTATATAACATTATTTGACTTATACACAAATGAGTTGCATTTGTCAGCTAGAAATGCTCTAGTTGCTTTTAAAACTGATTGTGAAAAGAAACTTGATGAGATGTCTTTTAAACCAACCACAATTGAAGATTTAAAAAGTGTCTTACAACTCCTAAATGAAATATTTGGTACTTGTGTTGAAAAGCAGTTGCTGGCTAGAGAAATAACTGAAAAATATAATGTTTTAGAAATATATGGGATTGTAGTTGGAGATGAAGAAAAACTTTTGCTCAATAATTTAGATATGTTTTCTTATATATTAATTGAAAAAGCTAGATTCTACAGTTCTAAACTAAAAGTTGTTAAAAAAAAGTTTGCTGAACTTGCCTTAAGGGAAGCTGATGAATTTCACCAGACATTAACTGAATTTGTTAAAAGATTCTACAATAGTGGTCCAGGTATTGTTGATGACCTAGAAGTTGGATTGTCACTAATGAGAGAATTTAATTTTGAAATGTACAGGCTAGAGCAAAAACGTCAGGATATTGGAAATTCACAGAAATTATTTGATTTACCCATTGTCATGTATTCAGATTTTTTCAGAGTTCAAAAAGATATAAACTATTTAGAATCGATATACAAAATATTTAAAAATTATATGAGTGCTAGAAGTGAATGGGACGTGATTCAATGGACAGACTTAAATGTTAACTCAATCCAAGATGGAATTGATTCACTTTTGTTGCAAGCCAAAAAATTACCGAAAGCTGTGAAAGAGATGCAATCATTTACCATATTAGAAAACTGTATGAAATCTTTTAAAGACAATCTTCCAATAATAGTAGAACTGAAAAACGAAGCTATGCGTGAAAGGCACTGGAAAATATTGATGAATAAAACAAAAATAAAGTTTGACACAAATATAAATGCCTTTACTTTGAAAAATTTATTTGCTATGAACTTGGCCAATTATTACGATGTTGTGATTGAAACAATCTCTGATGCCATAAAAGAAGCAAATATAGAGAAAGCATTGAAAGAAATCGAATATACTTGGTCTAATTTGAGGTTTAACATTGTTAAATATCATAAAAACACTTTAGATAAGGGCCATATGATTGGATCTGTCGATGAAATAAACCAACTTCTTGATGATCAGACTATGCAGTTGCAAGGCATGAATGCTTCAAGAAATGTTGTGCCATTTTTAAATTCTGTTCAAAGTTGGGAAAAGCAGTTATCACTTATAAGTGAAGTAATATATTCATGGGTCATTGCCCAACGCAAATGGCTGTATCTAGACAGTATTTTTTTATCTGGTGATATAAAAGTTCAATTACCGGAAGAGGCTAGACTGTTTGATAAATTAGATAAGGCTTACATGAAAATAATGAAAGAAACTGCTTTGAATCCAGTGGTTAAAATTTGTTGTCTAACTCCAGGTCGTTTAAGAGAATTTGAAGAACTGATTCTAGGTTTGGATAGATGTCAAAAATCTTTGAACGAATATTTAGATAGTAAAAGAAATGCTTTTCCAAGATTCTATTTTATTTCTGATGACGAACTTCTTAGCATTATCGGAAGTACGGACCCGCAAAGCATACAAGAGCACATAATTAAAATTTTTGATAACGTTGCTTCTATAAAATTGCAACCGTCAACTCATGGAAAGACATACGATGTTATGGGTATGATTTCTGCAGAAGGTGAACAGATGCCTTTTAAAAATAAAGTTGTTGCAGAGGGAAAAGTAGAGGCGTGGATAAACAACGTTTTGACTGCAATGCAAAATTCTAATCGTCGTATCACAAAAGAGGCAATTTTTTATTATTGTGCGGAAGGTCGATCACGAATAAGTTGGATGATGGAATACCAAGGAATGGTTTGCTTAGCTGGTAACCAGGTTTGGTGGACGTGGGAAGTTGAAGATGTTTTTCAAAAAGCAGCCAATGGTGATAAACAAGCCATGAAATTATATTCAAAAAAGCTTGTTCAGCAAATTGATGATTTAGTTCTGTTAATTAGAAAACCTATGACTGCCAACAATCGAAAGAAAATAAATACTGTATTGATGATAGATGTTCACGCTCGAGATATTATTGAAGGTTTTGTAAGAGATAGCATTCTCAGATCTTCTGATTTCCAATGGGAGAGTCAGCTTCGATTTTACTGGGATATTTATTCTGATCAATTAATAGTACATCAATGTTCCGGTAAATTTTTATATGGATACGAATACATGGGTCTCAATGGACGACTTGTTATAACTCCGCTTACTGACAGGATTTATTTAACTCTTACACAAGCTCTGTCAATGAAGTTAGGAGGGGCCCCGGCTGGACCTGCTGGTACAGGCAAAACAGAAACGACAAAGGATTTGGCAAAAGCATTGGGTTTATTGTGTGTTGTTACCAACTGTGGGGAAGGTATGGATTATAAAGCCATCGGTAAAATATTTGCTGGTTTGTGCCAAAGTGGCTCGTGGGGATGCTTTGATGAATTCAACAGAATTGAAATTTCTGTACTGAGTGTTATCTCATCTCAATTACAGACTATTAGAAATGCTCTTCTTCTAACTTTGACTCAGTTCAATTTTGAAGGTGGAATAATTTCTTTAGATCACAAAGTTGGTATATTTATTACAATGAATCCAGGATATGCTGGACGAACAGAGCTTCCTGAATCCATCAAGGCTTTGTTTAGACCTGTTGTATGTATTGTTCCTGATTTACAAATGATTTGTGAAATTATGTTATTCTCTGAAGGTTTTTTAATGGCAAAAGTTTTGGCTAAAAAAATGACTGTTTTGTATAAGTTAGCTAGTGAGCAACTATCAAGGCAATATCATTATGATTTCAAATTGAGGGCAATAAAATCTGTTTTGGTGATGGCAGGAGAACTGAAACGAGCATCGGATGCAGAAGAAGATGTTGTTCTTATGAGAGCTTTAAGAGATATGAACTTACCGAAATTTGTCTTTGAGGATGTTCCATTGTTTCTTGGACTAATCGGTGATTTATTTCCTGGTTTAAATTGTCCACGAATTCAATATCCAGAGCTTACAGAAGCTATCGAAGATGTGTTGAAAGAAAATAAATATATTGTCTTAGCACATCAAGTTGACAAAGTTGTTCAACTGCAGGAAACCATGTTAACAAGACATACAACGATGGTTGTTGGACCGACCTGTGGTGGTAAATCAGTGATAATTAATACTTTAGCCCTTGCACAAACTAGAATGGGTGTGCCAACCAAATTATTCACTTTGAATCCTAAAGAGAGAAGTGTCGTTGAACTTTATGGAGTTTTAGATCCTGTGAGCAGAGACTGGACAGATGGATTGTTATCTAATGTTTTTAGAGAAATTAATAAACCTACTGACAAAGTTGAAAAAAAATATATTGTTTTTGATGGAGATGTTGATGCACTATGGGTGGAAAATATGAACTCAGTGATGGATGATAACAAACTGTTAACCCTGGCAAACGGAGAGAGAATACGATTGCAAAAACATTGCTCAATGATTTTTGAAGTGTCTGATTTACAATATGCCCAACCATCAACAGTTTCACGATGTGGCATGGTGTATGTAGATTCTAAAAATTTAAAATATGAACCATATTGGCAGAAATGGTTAAAAGAAAAATTTGAATTAAGACAAAATTTAATTGAAATGGAAGTATTAAATAAACTTTTTATTAAATACATACCTCCATGTATAGATTTAATATTCGAAGGAAAAATGGGAAATGTTAGAAAAGACCCTCTGAAGACAATCATACCATTGACAAATTTAAATTTAGTACGACAACTAACTCATATGCTTGATGCTCTAATTGAATATGAAGATATTGATTTTGACGTCTTAGAATGTTTATTCGTTGAGGCTCTTTACTGGTCTTTAGGAGCTGGTCTATTAGAAAATTCCAGAGCACAGTTTGATACTTATGTAAAACAAATAACGACATTGTATGTGACAGCGTCCGATGTCGCGGCTGGACCTGGAGAATTGCCTGGAGATAACACTATATATGAATTTATTTGGGATCATCAATCTAATCAGTGGATTAGGTGGACATCGAAAGTTCCAGATTATATTCATGATCCTAATGTAAAATTTAATGAAATTCTTGTTCCAACTATTGACACAGTATCAATGAAATGGATATTAAGCTTATTTTTAAAGATGGAAAAACCCATTTTATTTTCTGGAGAAAGTGGTACTAGTAAAACGGCTACAATAACTAGTTTTTTAAAAAATCTCAACTCTGAAGAATATCAAGTTTTGGGAATGAACTTCTCCAGCAGAACCACATCTTTAGATTGTCAAAAAAATATTGAAAATCATACAGAAAAGCGAACTAGGGATGTATTTGGACCTCCAGTTGGAAAAAGATTAGTAATATTTGTAGATGATTTAAATATGCCTCAAATTGATCCGTATGGAACTCAGCAGCCAATAGCTATGTTAAAGTTACTATTGGGTTATTCTGGTATTTACGACAGAGGATCAGCCTTAAATTGGAAAACATTGCGTGATTTGGATTGGATTGCGGCAATGGGAAATCCGGGTGGCGGAAGAAATCATGTTGATCCTAGATTTATTTCACTTTTTTCATTTGCATATATGGTTTTCCCAACAGAAGATTCAATATTTAAAATTTACAGCAGCATATTATCTGGCTACACAACTGGTTTTGCTTCTGAGATTAGAGACTCGGTTGAAATTGTGACACACGCTTCTATGAATTTATTCACTGGCGTGTTAAAAGACTTGCCTCCTACTCCATCTAAATTTCATTACATCTTTAGTTTAAGAGATTTATCTCGCATTTACTCAGGTCTGTCACTTATGACTGCTGGCAATTTTAAAACTAGAAATGATTTGTTCAGAGTTTGGAGACATGAATGCTTGCGAGTGTTCAGTGATAGGCTTACAAATGAAGTTGATCAGGAAATTGTAGTTCAAAAAATAAGAAATCTTCTCGAAATTAATGCTTCAGCTTATATTGACATGCTCCTGGCTGATCCAATAATATATGGCGATTATATCAACGTTGAAAATGATGACTTTCCTAGGTCGTATAAAGAACTGGAAAGCTACGAGAGTTTAAAAAATTTATATAATGAAATCATTGATTATAGTAAAAATTCATCAAAAATATCATTGGTACTATTTGATGACGCGTTGGAACATTTAAATCGAATTAATAGAGTTCTTTTGCTGCCTAAGGGTCATTGTCTCTTAATGGGTCTTGGAAATGTTGGGAAATTCTCACTTGCCAAATTGGCTGCATGTATTGCAGGTTTAGAAATTTTTACTATTGAACTTGCTCGAGGTTATAGTGAAGCATCTTTTAAAGAAGATTTAAAAATACTCTATGATAAAATTTGCATCCAAAATTTAAAAGTAGCCTTTTTATTTAAAGACCAGTATATTGTGGAAGAGAACTTTTTAGAATTAATTAACAATATGCTAACTCTTGGCACAGTTCCTTCATTATTTGATGATGAAGAAACTGAAAAAATTATGGAAGCGTTTCAAAGGGACTTGCCAGGTTATGAAAAAGCGCCCACAAAGGAAATCTTTTGGCATAATTTTGCAAAAAGAGCTAATACAAATCTTCATATAATTCTTTCCATGGCTGCAAACAATGAAGAATTGCCTAAAAGGTGCAGAAATTTTCCTGGACTTGTCAGTAATACCAACATAGATTGGGTTTTTCCGTGGCCTAGCCAAGCACTTTTAGCAGTTGCAACTAGTTTTATCTCAGATGAAACTAATATAATTCCTGTGAATCATCAGACAGATGTAATCCAAATCGCTATATACGTACATTTTTCTGCTATTCAAGCTTCTGTTAATTTTTGGGAAAAACAGCGCAGAAGAAATTATATAAGTCCTAAAAACTATTTAGATTTCCTCGCAACTTACATCAAGTTGGTAAAAGAACAATATTCTTACATTAATATGCAGTGTGATCGCTTGGACGGTGGCATTAAAAAACTTTTAGAATCTGCGGTTCAACTGAATGATTTTAATGCAAAATTGGCTGTTCAAAAAATTGCTGTTAACGAAAAAACACAGTCATGTCAAAAATTGTTAACGAGAATAGCTCAAGCTACGGCTGAAGCTGAGGCTAAACAATCTTTAGCGTTGATCAAAAGTGCCCAAATTGAAGAACAAACTAAAGATATTACTCGAGAAAAAGAAGAAGCTAGGGAAGCTCTTTCTAAAGCAATGCCAGCATTAGAATCAGCTAAACAAGCCTTGGACTACATTGATAGGAATGATGTTACAGAAATAAGATCATTTGCAAAACCGCCTAAACCTGTACAGACAATTGGCGAGTGTATTGTAGTTTTAAAAGGAATTAAAGACGTATCTTGGAAATCAGCCAAAACGTTAATGACTGATCCTAACTTTTTAAAATCTCTCAAAGAACTTGATGTTGATAACATACCAATACGAAATATTCATGTAGTAAAGTACTGTTTGAAAGAAATGAACATCACGGTCGAAGAGATGAGAGACAAAAGCAGAGCTGGAGCAGGTTTAATGAAGTTTGTTCAAGCTGTAGTTGGGTACTGCGAGGTTTATAAAGAAGTTAAGCCAAAAAAAGAAAAAGTTGAAAGATTGGAAAAAGAGTTTGCTACGACAATGCACGAATTGGAAAAAATTACTTCTCAATTAAATCAGCTTCAAAAGACACTAGATAATTTAAAACATCAATACGAAACGGCCATGTTAGATAAAAAGCAGTTGGAGGATGAAACTGATTTGATGCAAAGAAGAATTGTAGCTGCAGATAGATTAATAAAAGGTCTTGGATCAGAAAGAATTCGATGGCAAAAAGAACTTGAAGATCTTTATTTGCAAAAGGGAAATGTAATTGGTGATTGTCTTCTATGTGCTGGATTTTTAACGTATACTTCACCATTTACTTGGCAGTTTAGAGAAAATTTAGTGTATAATTCTTGGTTGCAAAATATTAAAGAATTGGAAATACCTTTAAGTGAACCATTCTCTTTGACTAAACTTTTAACAAATGATGTTGAAATAAGTAAATGGAACTCTGAGGGATTGCCACCTGATGAATTATCTGTCCAAAATGCCATCCTGGCTACACGAAGCAACCGGTTTCCTTTGTGTATTGACCCACAACAACAGGCTATGAACTGGATAAAACAACGAGAAAAAGGAACATCATTTAAAATAAGTAGTTTTAACGAACCTGATTACATAAAGCACTTGGAACTAGCCGTCAAATATGGATCATCATTTTTATTCCAAGATGTCGACGATTATGTTGATCCTCTTGTTTACAACATACTTTCTAAAACTCTTATCAAACAAGGGGCAGTACAAGGTGTTATGATGGGTGATAAAATGATTGATTTCGATGATAACTTTCGTTTGTATCTTAACACAAAATTGCCAAATCCTAATTACCCTGCAAGTATATATGCATTCGCTACTGTTATCAATTTTATAGTTACTTTTAAAGGATTGGAAGAACAATTGTTGGGTGTGATCGTTAAAATTGAAAAAAATGAATTAGAAGAGCGCCGTGAACAATTGATATACGAGACAAGCACAAATAAAAAATTGCTTAAAGATTTGGAAGATTCTCTTCTTAGAGAGTTAGCCCAATCGAAAGGAAATATGTTGGATAGTGTGGACCTTCTTACTACCCTTGAAAATACAAAGTTAAAATCAAGTGAGGTAGCAGAAAAACTAAGACTTGGCGCTCTAACAACAGACGAAATTGACAGAAATCGTGACATTTATCGTCCCGTCGCTAAACTTGGAGCAATTTTATTTTTTGTTCTAGGTGATCTTGCAACAATTAATGTCATGTACCAATATTCACTGTCAGCATACATTAAAGTTTTTGAATACAGTCTTAGACGAAGTTTGCCTGATAGCCGAATAGCTAACAGATTGAAAAATATTTCTGAAGCTTTGCTTATAAACGTTTATAATTATGGATGTACGGGTATATTTGAAAAACACAAGCTACTTTTTTCACTTCAAATCGCAGTCAAATTAAAATTAGATGAAAATTCAATTACTGAAGAAGAATTGGATTTTTTAACAAAAGGCAATGTATCTCTTGAAAAATCTCCACTTGTTAACCCTTTTGCATGGCTCCCTGATGATGCCTGGGAATGCTTAACACTTTTACCTGAAGTTTCACCAAATAATTTCGAGAACATCATTTCTGATATTCAATCAAGCGAAACGGATTGGAAGGTCTGGTATGATCACGATAGTCCAGAAACCTTAGATTTTCCAATGCAGTATGAAGAAACTTTAAGTGATTTTCACAGACTCATGCTCTTGAGATGTTTCCGTTTAGACCGCCTTTATTGTGCTATCAGTGATTTTATCAGTGACTACATGGGAGAACAGTTCATTACCCCTCCCATTGTTAGTCTAAGCACAATTCATGAGCAAAGTTCTACAACTACACCCGTTATTTTCATTTTAAGTGTTGGGTCAGATCCTACAAGCGACCTCATCAAATTTGCAGATTCTGTGAATATAAAAAATACTCAACTAAAAATTCTATCATTAGGACAGGGACAAGAAAAAACAGCAATGAGTCTTATAACTGCTGCAGTGACGCATGGTCATTGGTTGATATTGCAAAATTGTCATTTATTAATTAGATTTATGCGAGATTTAGAAAAAGAATTTGAAAATTTTACTAAACCCCATCCTGATTTCCGACTTTGGTTAACGACAGAGCCGGTGGGAGATTTCCCTATCAGTGTACTTCAGAGATCACTGAAAGTAGTGACTGAGCCACCAAATGGACTAAAGCATAATTTGCAAAGTACTTACGTGAAGTTAGTATCACCAGTTATTGAAAAGTTTTGTGCCCATCCTCACTATCCCTCCTTACTGTTTGTTCTTAGTTTTTTCCATGCCGTCGTTCAAGAAAGACGTAAATACGGAAAAATTGGCTGGAATATATCGTATGACTTCAATGATTCTGACTTTATTGTCTGTAATACAATTCTTCAAAGTAGTTTGCAGAAAGTAATAGATTCCAGTGATGAGGTTATTCCTTGGAACAGCCTAAAGTATCTAATTGGTGAGGTGATGTATGGTGGCAGAGCGATAGATGATTTTGACAGACGAATTTTGAATACTTATATGAATGAGTACATGGGTGATTTTTTGTTGGATCCCTATCAAAAGTTTCATTTCAACATTAGCGAAGAGTTTGAATACTTATTGCCTACTGCTACTTCAAAGGAAGAATATTTAGAGTATATTGAAGACTTACCATTAATTACGTCTCCTGAAGTTTTGGGATTGCATGAAAACGCAGAAATAAGCTATTTCTTGCAAGCTGGCCAAGACATACTAGACTTCATGAAAATGCTTCAACCTAAAACAAAAATAACAGATTCCAGTGGAAGTAACAGGGAAGATATAGTTAGCAAACTTGCCCAGGACATGCTTAGTAAGATTCCAGAAGAGTTCAATATTGATAATATTCGTAAAAATCATGCCAACAACATAACCCCAAGCATCATAGTACTTTTGCAAGAGTTAGAAAGTTTTAACAAGCTTTCAAGAAAAATGATAAATTCTTTGCATACTCTAAGGAAAGCTATTGCTGGAGAAGTTGGCATGGACAATGACCTCGATGAAATTTCTAATTCGTTATTCTTTGGAGTAATTCCACAACTGTGGCGTCGTTTGGCTCCGCTTACAAAAAAATCCTTGGCCTCTTGGATTACTTTTCATTTAGACCGTCGCAGACAGTACAACGAATGGGCGTTTGATAACGAACCTGTGGTTAGTTAAGCATGTTAATTTGCTGTTTCTATAAAATGTTCAGTTATAATTTATCTTAAGTAAATTTTTTATCTTAAACAAAATAGCTGTTCAACATTTTTTTTATAAAACACATGTAGGCGTTTTAGTTAATGAGTTTATATTAAATCACATTCTACATGAGTTTGATGTTGTAAATTTTAAAGGTGATGTGGCTGTCTGGTCTACATGTGCCTGAATCGTACATCACAGCGCTCATTCAAATGACTTGTCGAAAGAATGGATGGCCGCTAAGCAAATCAACTCTGTTCACTAAAGTTATGTCTGAACCTATTATTGGAGATGCCTTAGATTCAATCAGCCAGGGCAAAATGGTTACAGGATTGTACTTAGAGGGGGCTGGATGGGATTATCAAAATTGTTGTTTAGTAAAGCAGGAACACAAAAAATTATCAACCCCTATGCCCATTATAAAAATGATACCCATTCAGAGAAGCAAACTTAGATTAGCAAACACTCTACGAACTCCCGTGTACGTAACTTCTGATAGGAGAGACGCCATGGGAGTTGGATTAATATTTGAGGCTGACCTACCCACAAAGCAACATCTCAGTCATTGGATTTTACAAGGAGTTTGTTTGGTATTAAATCCGGAGTGATTTCGTTCTTTCATATTGTGATAATCTGTTCATCTTATAACTTAAGTTAAATGGCTTTTTTGGTTCTTAATGATATGATCATTACTGCGAATATATTGAATTTATGAGAAATATGTAAAGAATTTCCAGGTCGTTGCATATGCAGGCGTGCTAACATGCTAATCTCATTTTATGTTACTCTTTTACTTCGTAATTTGATGTTTGGTTTTGGGTTAAATGTTAATGGGTCAAAAAAATTATATTAATTTAACAAATTTATTATTGATTTAACTGATTTATTTTATTTAAAAAATACATTCGTGATAAGTTCACTTCAACGGTTGCAAAGATTTTTCAAAATTCTTCGAAAGCTAATCTCGATTAATTAAATATTCGATCAGCTGTTGTTGAATACACAAGCTGTGACAATAGCCGTTTTATTTACGTCTTTAAATAGACGGGTCGTGATTAAAAAAATATTTTGAAGAAATGCCTTCACGTGATTATCATTTGTTGTTATTTTTGAAAATTTCAATGCTTTTGCGAACTGTTTTTTCAAAATGCCACTTTAAATCTAATGCGCTCGATTTAATGACAAATTATTGAAATTTAATCAATTTTATTTTCGCAAGGTTGTTTCATAATAAAACATGTAGACTTTCAGAAAAAGGAGCCTAACGCCGTAATGTAAAGTTCTCACTGCACGAAGATACCAGTATGGGTTTAAATGAAAATTCAGTTAAGAGCCTATGCATAATGTGCGGCCGATGTCTTCCTACGTGGACGTGCTTGCGGTTGTGTGTCTGATGTACGTACACTGTGTGTGTGGGCGTAATTATAATACTAAATATTGTTGGAAATGCTCACTTTTCTATCGGATTTATATAATAGTATACAAAACGTGCTTAAAACATCATTTTCACATATATGCATAGCGACCTTAAACAACGTGGCATTCAAAACACACTATAAATAACTAATCCTTCTTTGTCGTTCGCGTTTCTTTATTCGTGTGCTGTAAATTTTGAAGCAGATTTACGTGCAGTGCATTATTTAAGCGTTTATTAATATTTAATATCGTGCCTTTGTGATGTACATTTAATATCATATGATGGTTATGATATGAATGTACGGTTCACGATAAACAGGCATGAAAAAATTGCATAATATTTTAGAGATCACATCAAACACTGTCTAAAGTAAATTTATAATTTTCTGAGTTTTTAACATTCTCAAGTGATGCCAAAAGAGAAGTTGTTTTCAACTTTTTTAACAGTGTCTTTGCTGGTATCGGTTTGTGTGGGACAAAATGTTTTGAATAAAGAAGGTAATTTGAATATTTTAGTTATTTAAGTTAGTAGTAGTAGATGAACTAGCAATTGTAATTAGAAATGCTTAAATAATATTAATAGAATATGCTCTTATTACACGTAAATGTTTTTAGCTATTCTTTATACAAAATTATTAAATTTTAATTTACCCTTTGAATTTATACAAAGATTGCGAGGGTGAAGCTGACGTCGTATTTTTGGTTGACGCATCGTCATCTACTACGCCTAGCGATTTTTACAACTCGTTGAATTTTGTAAGAGACATCGTGAACAACTGGTTGTATGTTTCTCCTGATTCCACCCATGTCGGGCTGTCAACGATCAGCTCTACAGGGAAGTCTGAAATATTTTTGACTGACTACACTGATTCTAATTTTTTGAGTTCAGCTATTATCGGTAAGCCGGTGTTTCGAGGGGGGATTGGAAACTTGAAAAGTTCCCTTCAGTTGGTATCAGACGAAGTTCTCAGGACCAATAATGGAATGCGCTCATGGGTAGCAAAAGTCATAATCCTTGTTGTTTCAGATACTTTGATTCTGCAGAATGACTATTTTAGAAGTGATCTCAACCGACTAGCGTTGGATCTCAGAAGTTCAGGTTTTTTTTTTGTAATACAGATTTCATAAACTTTTTAAAAACTAAGATTCGAAAAAAGAAAAATCATTGTTTTGTTCAATACTTACTATAAATGACTTTTTTGTTTTCGTGTGTACGATTGCAAGATTTTGTCTGTTGGTTACTCTGTGACGTTTCTTTTTTTTCTGTAACCTAGGCATAATGATCTTAGCAATGGTGTATGGAAATTCACAAGACCAACTAAAAGTCAATTCATTGCTGGATGAAATTCTACCGTACCCAACAAGCAATTACAAATATTTTTTCAGAAATGGCTCGTTTGCTGGACCTGATATGATGGGCTCCATACAGCAACTCTGCAAAGAAATCCCTGGTTGGAGAATATTCGATTTTGTTTGGACTTGGGGGTTTTATGAAAAATTGAGTTTATGTCATTAAAAATATTTGTTTATAGTTCTGCTTAATATTATAAGCACATCGATGACGTGAATGTCAGTTAAATTTCATCATATAATTTTCACTTGAGTTTTCATTTGCTTCACCTAGTTTTGATTTACTTTTTGTTAATTTTAGATCAGCTTCAAAAGTTCTTTTTTTAAGTCTTCTTAACTTCCAAAATTTAACGCGAGCAGAACCAACATATTTTTAATTAATAAATACTTTTTTCACTTTTAAAATGGTTGAAATATGAACATGAACATTTGAAACATAAAAATAAAGATATAATCGTTATCAAATCGTTATCAGCTTGCTCAGGGCAAGCGGATATTGTATTTCTAATGGATTCAACTGGAACAATTTATCCTTCGGATTGGGAGGCCGATGTAAAGTTCGTCAGCTCTGTGGTTGAAAACATGTACATCAGCTCGCAAGCCGTGCGTGTCAGTGTTGTCAGATTCAACATCGAACCTACGAGATTTTTTTGTTTGAATAATTACAACAATAGGTATGAAATAGTTGAGAAAGTCAACAAAGATGTGGTTTATAACAACGGAGGAGGTTTGCTCAATCAACATTTCATTTCATAAATTAATTTCTGTTGTTACTTTTTTTTTTATCTAGGAACTAACACGGCACTTGCTCTTCAATTTGTTGTGGAGCAGGTGTTCACAGCATCGTGTGGATCGAGACCAGACGTACCAAAAATTGTTATTATTATTACCGACGGGACATCCAACATTGACCAGGTAAGCATTTCATTCTTTTTATGTTTAGCACGGTGTCAATTGTCACAAAACCTTATTTTAATTCATTTTACTTTTTTAATAAAGGTAAAAACCATCCCAACAGCCAAAATGTTAAAAGACAAAGGAATTCAAATATTTGCGATTGGTGTAGGAGACATTGACGAAGCGGGAAGGAATGAGTTAATCGGCATTGCATCTAGTCCGCCAAGTTCATATTTTTTTAAGGTTAATGAATTCGCAGACTTGAAGTTCCTCAAAAATACTTTAGTAAAGAGAACGTGCAAACTGCCACCATCGAGTTAGATTCTAAAATATTTTTTTCATGGTCACGATTGTAATATTGTGACATCATAAAATTAAATTTTAACTGAATGATGCAGGTTGTAGCAGTTTGTTGGATCTCATATTTATTTTGGATACTTCGGGAAGTATATTTCTTAATGATTACAACAAGGAAAAGTTGTTCATCATCGATCTTATCCGAAAAATGGATGTAGAACTAGGTTTTACAAAAATTGGTTTTATGACTTTTGACACACAGCCGAATGAAATCTTCTCTTTAAGAACGTCAAGTAACACACAGGATTTAATAAATCTTGTTCAGTCCGCTCCTTATACTGGAGGTGTCACAAATACTAATCTAGCGCTCAAATTCTTGAGAGAAACAGCATTCTCTGAAGAAAGAGGTGCGAGAAGGGGTGTCGCAAAAGTGGCTCTTTTAATGACTGACGGAGCTGCAAATAATTTTACTGCAGCAACGCAAGAGGTTTCTATTTATTATTTCTTTTCTTTTTTGTCAAGTTTTTTATAAAATTTATATAGCCTCTTAAATCTGCCTGTCTTAAACGTGTTTTCCAATTATTTTCAGGCTGTATTGACGAGAAATGCCGGTATTGACATAATTTCTTTAGGCATAGGTTAATAGTATTATGTGGATGTTGTTCTTTGTATGTTGTGTTATTATGTAGATAGTTCTGGTTCTCTATCTTGATGTTGCGATGAATACCGTATCCACATAGGAACAGGGAACTAGCGGATCATTGATGTGATGCTCGATATCAAACTCGATTATCGTTAAACGAATGTATAATGGTGACGAATTAAATTGATGACTTACGCGATTTAGTTATTATGTTATTTACGACGATAAAAAATATTGTCTTTTAGCGAATTAAACACAAACTCACCCATTTTAGTTTTACAGTTCTTTTTCCAAAACAAGGTGATATATACGAATAAAATAAATGCTACGAGTAAAATCTATTTGTATGTCTTGAGTCCTATCTGTTGCGTGAGTTATGTTGTGTCCTTCCCGTCTTGTTCCGTCTCGTCTCTCGAGTAGACTCGTGTATGTCTTATGTTCTTCTTCCCGTCTCGTCTGTCGTGTAGTTCTGTGTGTGTCTTCTGTAGTTTTTCTCTCTGCTTAATGCTGCATCTCCTTATATAGGAGAAGGTGTCTGCGCGTTGGCGTTTTAGTTTCACATGCGAAAATGGTTGCATATGGATCTAATTACCTCGTCTGTAATACTTTGCATACCAGTCGTGATGAATTGCGGTCAAGTGTGTCTTTCTCTTATTTAATATTTCTCTGTTTGTGGTTTCGTCTGTCTGTGTGTATGCATTTTGCTGTGTGCGCTGGCGTCTTAGTTTCACATGCGAAAATGGTTGCATATGGATCTGATTACCTCGTCTGAAATATTTTGCATACCAGCCGTGATGAATTGCGGTCAAGTGTGTCTTTCTCTTATTTAATATTTCTCTTTTTGTGGTTTCGTCTGTGTCTGTGTGTATGCTTTTCGCTGCGTGAATATATTTTCTCTGTGGAACAATAAATACGTCAGTCGTGTTTTTATGTGTTTTAGTCTTTGTATGTGTGTGTGTGTGTGTGTGTGTGTGTGTGTGTGTGTGTGTGTGTTGATTGATTTACATGATAATAGATTTTAATTATAGAATTTGTTTGAAATTATGAACGTGCTTATATTTTAATGTTTTAACTATTGTATTAAAAATGATGATTTAAATGTTGTGAAAACTGCCAGGAAGTATGATTAACAAAAACGAGCTGCAAACAATGTCTTCCTATCCGAGTGAGAAGAACACCATTTTTGTTGAATATTATGACCTTCTGACAACTGCATCTGATCCGCTGCTTAAACTCATTTGCAATCGTAAGTTTGAAGTTTTTTAAATCGCCGAATAATTTAAAAATGAATACACATTTTTGATATAACAATGCTTAAAAAGGTATTGAAATCAGTATTATTTGTATAATTATTATGCGACAATGCCAAACCTCGCATTTATTTTACAAATTAGAATTTTTAAATTTAGTGTCATCATGTTGGAAGAAACGTCTAAACTTCCAAAATATTTTGTTTGAAAAAACTTGGATGCGTATGCCAAGAAGCAACAATTTTTAAATTTTGTAAAGATTTTTGTAAAACTGATGTGGGACGTCGCAAAACGACGGCTCTTATGTGTTGTTCATTGTATGTATTGTAGTCTCTGGTAAGTAATGTATTGCTTCGAAGTGCTAAAGTTTATAGATGGAAATTTGTTGATGGTTTGTTGATATTAACACAAATTATATGAAACTCTTTGGCATTTATAACTTAAGTTAAAGATGAACCCAACTTTACATCACCAACATAAGGCCTAAATAACCCCTAATATAAGTTTTATTGTTCAAGTCGAACCCCCTTCACCCCTTTACAAAATTTACAAAAGTCACCAGCCCATTTTAATATTTCAATAAATTGGAGCAGAAATAACCACCTCGATAACCTCCCGTCGCCATATTTTGACGAATCAGAGATTATATAACACAGTGGGTTGATTTCAATTATTAAAACTGAATAAAAAAATCTAACTATAAATGGGTAGATGACGTTTGAGCTATCGTTTTATTTTTATGAGAATACAATAAAAGTTATAAACGTGAAATGGGTACAAAAGGTTAACATAGAAACAACATAGCTGCTTTAAACAATTACAATGCTTTGGCAAATATTTGATGTTTGTTTCACCAGAGATCGACAATTGTTTGAGTAATCCGTGTCTTAATGGAGGTACATGTCAGAGTGGTCTGAACAATTTCTACTGCAAATGCCCGGGTAACTTCACTGGCCCTAAATGCGAAAAAAGTACATTTTTATTATTTTTTTAAAAGTGCTTAAGTCAAACATTGTTTTTTGAAAGGATGCCATTTATGTTTTTTTAATTAATTTTAATTTTTTTAACATTTTGTCATTTTTTTAGTAATCATAAGATGAAGATGTCATCAGATTAAATTAGTTGGTTGCAAACGCATTGCTAACACAAATGTATTTGCATAATATTTACAATGATAACATAATAGTCTTTGATGTTTTTTAAACAATATAAATTTTTTAATATTAATGCCGACTGTAACGAATTCAATTTTAAAAACACAATAAAAGTGCGAATTAATTTTTAAAGTAATCATCATCGATGGTTTGAAACAGGATGTACGAACTACGTGGACCTCGTTGTGGCACTGGACTGCTCATCGAGCCTTCTTTATTCCGATTACATTCAGGCCCAACTTTTTACGCGCAATCTCATCATCAGTCTCAACTTGAATGTAGGCAGTCGCGTTGGAGCTCTCATATTTTCCGACAAAGCTGAAGTGAGTGGGATTTCTAACGCCAACTTATGGCTTAATATTTAATTTGACAAAAATGTTAAATATACTAAATAACAAATTGTAAGGAAATATTGGAAAATTTTAATTTAAGAAACATCAAAAGTCAATTGCAAATTGAAACACCGCTTTGGAATCGTTCATTAATTTACAAAGTATAAATCCGACCTTTTGAGATAAATAGTGTTTTTCTTTTTGGCGTAACTATTTTAACAGCTTTTATTTTAAATAAATATATTGACGAAAATCGTATTATAATGTACATTATATTATTTTACGTTGTACGGCATAATGTTTGTTTTGCAGATTCAATTTCAGCTGAAAACTTACACTGACACGAAATCTGCTCTCAATGCGGTCAACTTTCGATTCGTTGAAGGCTCTACGAACACCGCAGAAGCAATCAGAGTAGCCAGAATGGAAATGTTCCAACCGTACAATGGGGATCGACTCAATGCACCTAATGTTTTACTGCTTATAACCGATGGTTATTTCCTAATTTTATTTTTGACTATTCCATGACTTTATAAAATATTTTAATAATTTATACTTATTTTCTTGAAAAGTTGTATGACGTTCAAATTTTCCATTTAAAATGTTTTATTAATTACGTCTTAAACTTCATCCATAGAATTACATTAGTTTCTTGACAATTTGAAGGCCAGTCAAATGTGCAGAACAGAACGTTGGATGAAACGAGACTGGCCATGAACGCCGGCATCACAATATTGACCATCGGCATTGGATCGTACGTTAATGTCGACGAACTTTCAAGAATCACCAGCTTCCCAATTTCGGCCAACATGTTTGTCATCAGAGATTACTTCCAACTGACTGACATTGTTACTCCCCTGTCTAATGTTCTTTGCAGAGGTTTTCTTCAATTCATCCAACTTTAAAAGTTAATTGTTGTTTATTTTCAAATTTTTTAAGTAATTATGTTTCAACGAAGTGTTGGTTGCTTATTTTTTGGTTTTTCTTCAGATGTGGACGCGTGTGCATCAAATCCCTGTCAAAACCGTGGAACGTGTCGAAGTACCATAAACAGTTTTTCCTGTGATTGCCCCACTGGCTTCATAGGAGACACGTGCAATCTGCGTCAGTTTTTTTCTTGCCGATTGAACTGTTTGGTCATATTGCATTGAACTGACCTAATTTGTTATTTTGTCGTCGAAATGATCCTTCCACATCTTATGAAATTTTTGAAATTCGATCGTAGCTTGTGTCAACCAGATTGACGTAGCTTTCCTTATTGACGTGTCTCAAGACATGCAGCCAGAGATCTACAAAAATTTGACGGATTTCATCAAAGGCTCTATCAGGCAGATGGATGTTCAAAGCGGGAAAACGCGGGTTGCAATTGTTGAATATGCAGAACATGCTAAGGTGAAATCAAATAAATATCAAATTTAGATTTTATTTTGAAAGTCAGATCAGAGGCATCTTTTAGTTTGAAAGCAATCATCATTTTTTGTTATATTCAACTCTGAAATACACTTTGAAACAAAAACGTTCAATATTAAATAAGTTTGTTTTGAAATAATTGAGTATGTTTTAGCTTTTTGGTATGTTTCATTTGCTAAAAATAATGAAGATTTTTACCACTTTGCAGATTTTTTTATTAAATTTCAACTTAAAAAATATACTTTGTTAAGCAATGCTATTTTCAATTAACAACCAAGCATTCTTCTGTTCATGAAAATAGAAGCAATCCTTGTGGCATTGGTACTGTGCTTTTTCAAGCGTTCATGCAAGCGTCGTTCGATTGTGTTTGCGACTTCCATAAATAAGTGAACTTGTTTTCACGTTTAGGTGATAATTCCTCTGTCTTCCAGCACAACGATATACGATTACATGTTTCTCACCGATCAGCTGAGTTTTGGAGTGGAAAAACGAATGATATCCAGCGGTTAGTTTGCTTCAGTTTGCACAATTATTTTATTTATGACAGATTCTGAAAATTTATAACTAAACAGGTCTCAACCTTGCCATCAACAATGTCTTCACTGCCAGTAGCGGGGACAGAGCGGACGCCACGAACATCGCAGTCATCGTGACCAGAGGACTGCCTCACGCTTCTGATACAGATGTCATGTCGGTTGCTGTGAAAGCTCACGTTGCTGGCATTTCGACCATCGTTGTTGTCGTTGGACCGGATTTCATTCTTGGAAGAAATTATCTGCAAATGAGCAACTTGGCCAGCGAGCCGATTGCTTACAATTACTTTTCGGTCTTAACGTTTGGTCGCTTACCTGCGCAGGCCAGTCTCGTCTCTGCCTCCATGTGCAACAGTTAAACATTTTAAAGTTCACAATAACATTGTTTTGATTAACTGGTGCAGATCATTTTTATCACGCCGCATCGCTGTACGTAGCAACTTCTGTTGTGTCTTCGCTTGAAACAGCATCAGCTAAATGAGAGCTAATTTACTGATGTCAGTGATGACATTATCGCACAAACAATTATCATGTTATGAACGCTATCACGTTATAACCATTAGCGATTAACTGGTGCAGATCATTTTTATCACGCAACCATTTACCATCACAAAGCACAATGCTATGGAACCAAGTTTTAGATCGTGGTACCACGCATTCATATTGCAATATAAGTAACACCTAGTAGCTATTTGCTGTAATTTTACAAGCTCAAACATGTTTCCTTTGCGGTTAGTTTTGATAATTTTTATCTAATCAGCTTAGGAGCGTCGATATACAGAAATATTGTTCATTAGGATTAGATCATTTGACGCTACTGAATAAACGATTCATAAATTTTAGTTGCAAAATAATTAATAATGGAGAAATTCTGCTTGAAAAGACAAGCTCAAATATCTAAAAAAAAATAGAATACTCTTGTGACCGTTTCAACGTTCAACAAAATTTTCAAACAAAATTTGAGACGTTGCAAACATTCAAGAACTATTACAACCATTTAAGAACTATTACAACCGACAGACGTGTCAATGTGCTCCTCTCAGACGTGTTTCAACGGCGGCAAATGCGCGGAGGGATTGAACACTTTCACATGCTCGTGTTCCGGAACATTCTCAGGCTCAAGATGCGAAAAAAGTTAGTTGAAAGTTTAATGTTTCTGTTTTTTTAACGTTAATTATTAATAGTGTAAATTAAATTTATCTGTCTAACCTAAGTCTATTTAGATCATTTATTTTGTCGGGAAGCTTTTTTGAATTTTGTTTAGCGAGGTCAATATAATCATAATGAGTTAAAAACATTTCAAATCTCGAGAAGTTATTTTAGAACTCAAGAAAATCTAATTAAATTTGCTAAAATTTTTAACTAAAGACTAAAATTATTGAATAAAACAAACAGCCTGCAACTCGCTGGACCTTGATGTCGTCTTTCTGGCTGACGTCTCTGGTAGTTTGGAGTTGGGAGGTTTCGACATAGCCACATCAATTATGAAGCGCATTACAGAGGGACTCAACTTCAGATACGGTCGAACTCGTATGGCTTACGTAACGTTTGCTAACGATCCTACAACAGTTTTCAACTTCAACAAGTTGGTCTGCAGAGTTGTAGCAATTTAGCGCAGTTAGTTTTGTAGTATTGCAGCGTCTGCGGTGTTATTTATGTTCTGCGAGAGAGTAAATTTTGCATTAGACAGCGTTAATTAATTGGCGGTTTAATCACCGTAGGTTTTGTTTTATTTGTTTATTGCTTCAAAGTCGCTCTTTTTTTGCTACCTTTCGGTGGTTTGTGGTTCGTGTTCTGTTGTTTACCTCTGTGGTTTTTAATTTCATTTGAAGGGAGATCTGTACACGTCTGAGATCAAGGTTAAATGTTAAAGGTCAATTAATTACACTCTTCCAAAGTTCAGAGGATTCAACAGAGCGCACAAACATCGTATATGAATACATGCTAAATGACGAATCACGCACGAAGCATGTGATAGGCGGGCATCTTTTTGTCATATTCAAACCCGGTTACTGCGAAACAGCACCAGGCGACCTTAACCATTAGACCATCACGCCGCCCTCATCACCAGTTTCAAGTGGTGACTTTCAATGCATGTGATTGGAAGCGATCAAATAATTATGATAGACTCCTTACTTCATACGTTAACGTTGCAATGATACTTAAATCAAACTTCATAGTAGTTATGGTTCGTTATTAATTACTAATCATTGTTTGTGATGGATGCAAGTTCGTTCGCTCATTGGAATCACATAAAAGTTACAGTATTGAAATTAAGTAACTACTGTTTTACAGTATTTACTTTTTATAAATAAATTAATTATTTTGAACAAAGATTAAATATTTTAAATTTTGGCGAGAAAAATTAGCGGTAGTGGTAACGATCTTTACGCAGAACTCTACGAAAGTAGTTTGTATCGATAGGATGGTGGCTACATTTAATATTTAGCAGCTGTAGCTGTGCTTCATGATCAGCCTTAAAAAATCCGTTGGTTTACAACAAGTTTTATGATTTAATTTGATCTTTTTTTTGTTCTTTGTGAATATTTCATTTTGAACATTCTGCTGCAATTAAATTAGTAACTTTTGCTGATTAATTTCAACGAGTAGGTAACTTTGATTGGTTGAATGAAATTTCAACACTGTTAAATAATCCAACCTTCTACATTCAGATACCTTGGTGTTGATAACAGTCAGATTTTTGTCAGTGCCCTCAACATTTACCAAGTTTTAGAGTGGACGAATATTGCAAAAGCTCTTCGACACGTGAACAGCAACGTGCTGAGACCTGAGGTTGGCCATCGGATGGGTGTTCGAACCGCTGTGGTTGTCATCAGCGACTTCAAACCAACTGTCGATATTCTCGCCACTGCACCTGCTGCCAACGAACTGAAGGCAGCGGCTGAAATATTCGGCGTCGGCTTGTTAGAAACCCCTGACGAGGAAACGATGAGGATGGTAGCCAGCAGTCCCGAGTATGATTATACGTACAAAGTCTCCTCTACGTCCTCCGTTGCCAGTGCCGCCGACATGATTTTGGAGAAGTTGTGCCAGTAGGCTAGAATGGGAGGCCGAGTTTATTATTTTTTATATGTAAATAGTTTCGTTTTGTTCATTAGTCAAAATTTGTGTAAATTATCAAATAAAATTGATTAAACGTTAAATATTATAAACATTTTAGCTAAGTTGTTGTTTTCAAATCGCTTCTTGTTAATATCGTTATAGAATACTGGCGACATTATTTGCCAAACTTTTAATCATAGCTATATGTTATAAACATGTTGCACAGCGTTTGCCTAATTTTCCAAGTCTTGACAATAAACAACATTCTTGCAGAACTACAGCTGATTGGCTTGTAACATGAACAATTTCTTTCCACGCAAAATATATTTGTTTGGTTGGGATTGAGGACCATTTTTATGTTAATGAATTGCAGTTCGTTGGCTGATGTTAAAAACTGACGATCGTTCCACCATTGTCTTGTTTTGTTTAGATGCAACAACGATATGATCACGCTTGTTACGCATGTTGTTAAATTTTACTTTTGCTAAACATAACGAGGTTTGATTATCGCTGGCGATATTTATTTTTGTTGTCATCATTACAAATTTATTTCTGACATAGAAACTTTTTGTTGTTAAAATCAACGAAAATCATAAAACTTTAATTAAAAAACTAGCAAGTAGCGACTCAAAAATTAGAAGTAGAAGACTTCAGGCTGGGATTGCAAATCGGCTGAATAAACTTTTGCTAAACATAACATATGACATAGCGTAACAGATAAACAGATAACACAACCTATAACATTACACAACATACCATGACAGAGTTATAGTGGTTCGTCACTAGGCTTATCACAATGTAAAGGAATTTTTGAGGCACCGACGATACAAACAATACAAAATAATAAATATTGCAAATCGGTTAGTTCATGGCTAAAAGTTAGTAATTGTACATGTTTATAAATTTGTACGCCTGCAGCGAACCAACCAATCAACAATTTTTGACGGCTCTGGTGGTTCGGTGATCGTCGACGTTTTTGTTGCTAGAACTCCCGCCACTTGTATCTGGGCAGCCGACATTTAATTTTTTACTCTTTTTCTGCATCTTTCGCATCTGCAGATCGTTCTTCATTCGTTGGAAGTCCTGTTGGTCCAGGGATCTCTCTAGCATCGTTCTCTCAGATTCATCTATCGATCACATTAATTTTGTTTGTTAACTCTTGCAAAAATTTTTTTGAATAATTGTTTTCCATATTTATTCGATTTTATGTTTTTAAATTAATTCGATGTTAATGTGTTTATATATATATATATATATATATATATATATATATATATATATATATATATATACATGCATACAAAATGTTGTGTTGAATGGATCGAAATGTTTTTAATGTTAAAAATTTGTCGGTCGATCAAAAACTATCAGGCAAGTATCATGCCATCCTTTAAGAAGAAAAATAAAGAAATAATAAAATAATGCTTGTTGAAAGAATAATGAAAATAGATGGACAACTTTTTCATGAAAATTTCTTTTGTTTGACTTATAAGTGAATCTTTGAGTGCTTGCATCAAATTTTAAAACTTCAAAAAAATGAACAGATTGTCTTAGAACATGACTCTAAATATAACATTGTGTGCAACATCATCATGACATCAAAACAATATCATTATAACATCATAATGACATCTTTGACATCAAACAGCATCACCATGACATCAAAACTACGTCTTCATCATTACATCACATTTGAATATAATGTCGAAAAACATCATCATAATCTATTTAATGTTATTGTCATTGACATCACAATGATCACATGTAAACATGATATCATCATAACAACATCATCGTCATATTCTACCTGATGTTATCGCCATGCGGTTGACTGTCTCGTCAACGAAATGTTGATACAATGCGCTCCGTAGAATGGCCTGATAAATAAGGTATGTTGTTGTGTGTTGTGTTGTCGTGTGGAGTGTAGTTGTGTCGTGTGTAGCTGTGTTGTTGGGTGGTGTGTTGTTTTGTTCGGTCGGTCGGTCGGTCGGTCGGTGTGGAGATGTTAAGGAATTGGATGTAATAAGATAAGGTCATTTTTTGTTCGACATTACGTTAACTACTTGGCGTTTAATGATATTATCACATTACGAAATTCCATTTTTTTTTATTCGCAAAAACTTTTGAAGTCGTAGCGTCATTGTTATAATATGAAAATATCATTAAATAAGGTTTAAGATACAAAGTGGCGTGACTCTGTGTGTTGTTGTGTGGTCTAAATATGAATATTTATAATATTTATAATATTTTATTCTTATATAGATAGCATTAATGTGTTTTCTTGCCATTACGTTATTGTTGAATGATTTATTTTACAGTAACGATTTATTTAATAATACTATTTATAATTAAATCCATATTTCACATTAATTGCATATGATAAAAGGGGATCTCTTAGCGTTCGAAACTAGTTACTGCAACATCAATACCAGACGCCTTAACCATTACACCATCCTGGCCTCTAACAAGTTATTATTAGCAGTACAAACAAACAAGCAAGCAAAGAAACATCTGAGATCAACCTTTTCATTGCTGGTTATTTTCAATTCGTCGATCACTTTATCATTACTCCCCCGCAACTTGAAAACCTGTATCGAAATCTTATTGTCAGCGACGTAATGCTATAAATATTATAGATCATTAATATATATATAATATAGCATAATTTAATTATTATTGTTATAATTATTGATCCATGACCACGGATACTTAATAAAAAATAAACAACAAAGTCTATATGTTACAATGAAAAAATTTCAAATAAAACAACACACAAAACATCGGAATATTTTCAGACTTTACAAACATAAAACTTGGATGTTAATAATAGCCAAATGCTTCTTCAATCTACTTCTATACAAAAGTCCGACATGCTATAAATAGAATGAAACAACAAACTAGGGCACACTCTTTCATCGTTTCGTGCCGACAACACAACATAAACAACTGCGACCATTGTGAGCAGGCAACAACATCATCATCAACAACAACAACAACAGCAACAACAATGTAAATAATGTCAACAATATAAAAACAACAACAACAACAGTTATCTTCGTCATCTACGCACGCTAGCCAAACAGACGAAAGACAGAGAAGCAGAGAGAGCAAGAGAGAGGGAGAGAGAGAGAAAGAAAATAAAAGAAGGAAACAAAGAAATTAAAACTGTTGTAAATAATTCTAACAATGAACATTCGTTAGCAATATTTCCTGCCACAAAAAAACAAAATCAATTTGCGTCGTAAATTAAGAAGCTAACGACGAACAAATGAAAACGTGCATTATTGTCGGCCATTAAATCGTGTGTGTGGCTGGTTGGTTGGTCGGTTGGTTGGTTGGTTGGTTGGTTGGTTGGTTGGTCGGTTGGTTGGTTGGTTAGTCGGTTGGTTGGTTGATTGGTTGGTTGGTTTGTTAGTTTGCTGTTGGTTGGTTGAATGAATGGATAAATATTGCGGTGACTTCATTTCGTTTGACATAACAAATCAAATGTGAAAATGAATGAAAGTAAATGATAGGTTGTAACAGCTGTATGTAACAACCACAACGTGAAGATTCAAAAAAGTCCAAATATCACGTTGAAACGCACCTGATCAAGAGATCGGTACCCATCGTGGTTGAGGGCTTGAAAGGTGCTTTTCGAGACCCCGTAACTTTCGCACCAGACCTGAAAATCTTGCAGACGTTTGCTCCTTATCTCCTTGGCGCTTTTCATCTGTGAACGCTTTGTTATAAATCTTTGTTACTGAGTAATGACCTAGTTGTTTATGTTGCTGTTGTTTATATTCTAGTTGTTGTTTGTGTTGTCGTTGTTGTTTGTGTTGTAGTTGTTGTTTGTATTGTTGTTGATGTTTGTGTTGTTGTTGTTTGTGTTGTCGTTGTTGTTTGTGTAATTTTGTTGATGATTTCATAAAGTTGCTGTTGATTATGGTGATGTGTATTGTATATATAATTAAGTTAGTCATAATGATTTTCACGAAAATTATGACATAACAGTTAAGTGTCTGTTGTCTTAGCGCTCAACCGCAACAAATTTCAGAAATGAATTTGTTTGCAATTTGTATTTTGCATTCTAATTTCTATGCGTGTGTTGTTGTATAACCATTTTACTTCATTGTGTCGTTGTTTTTGTTGTGGAGCATGTTCTTGCTCCAGTTGTTAATGACGTCGTCATGAATAAAGTGTTTTTGTAACATTTATCATTCGTGATTTCTTTAAAAAATACACTAAAAATAAAATAATTAAATAAAATGACATCTAATGTGTTGAACTTACTTTGATTTTCAGAACAATCTTCAGCAAGAAATTTATGAAATTTTTTAAAAAGTGGCTGACAAGTCAAGAGACAACCGGCAATCACAATATATATATATTTTACACACACACGCATGTATATGTATATATATATAATATTATATTATTATATATTATTAAATTATATATATATATATACATATAAATATATTTATTAGCATTTCATTTTGGTTTTCTCCCTTTCGTATTTTTCTTTTTCGTCTCACTCTCTCTCTCTCTCTCTCTCTTTCTCTCTCTCACACAATTTCTTTCTTCCCATCTAGCTTCTTTTGTTCATTCGTGTCAGAGTGTTTTTGTACTTCCCATCAAATGACGTCAGAGCTCTTGGCAGCAAGCAATTGGTTAAAAGTTAATTGATAATAAAGTCGTGATGAATCAGATGCATGCGATCGATGATGATGATGATGATGATGATGATGATGATGATGATGCCGACGATGATTATGATGACGTTGATAATTATGATGATTTTAATTTAAAAAAATTAAAGTAATTATGTTGACAAACGTAACGATGAAAGTAATTTGGACAACTTCCTGAAAAGTGATGACGAATAACTATAGTTATTTGCTATTTGCGAGTTTATAAAAACTTAGAAATGCAACAATCCTAGCAATGGATGATAATAATTAAACGTTGTGTTGTAAGCTCCCCACAACAACAGCGCTAAAATTGTCTCCTCTCTCTCTCTTTCTGTTTCTCACTGTTTCTTTCTTTTTTCTCTCCATCCCTCTTTTTCTCTCTCCCTATCTCTCTCTCTCTCTCTCACATTTTTCATTTCATTTCATTTTCAAAGTTTTATTCATAATCAACAACATATCAAATAAGTGAATAAAAGTTATGAAGTTGAATATGCGGAGACCGAATAAGACTGTTTGTCTTGTGGTGGCCACCGCTGGTAGATACATGGATAGTTAATGAAATAAAATAAGGAAAATAACTGAAGCAGAAAGATAATTGAAGATAAATTAGTAAATGTTCGTGTCATACATATATAGACATATAACTATGTAAATGTTCGCTCAGTACGTATATAAACACATAAATGTTTAACCATTCATAAAGACCATTCATCCGCATCATTTGTTCTAACGTATTCTTAATATAATATTAGGTGGTGGAGTCGAGATCCAGTGTCATTAAAAAAGCACGGAATTTTGACTTGAAATGTTGTAGGTTTATGATGGCTCTTAGATGGGGAGTAACAAGTTTTGTCCAAATTTTAGGACCTGTTATTTTTATGCTTGTCTGGATTAATTTGAGGCGAGTTTTGTAGATATAGAAGAGAGGGGTGTGTCTAGTGGTTTGTAGATTGAACGGAGTTACTTAATGTGTAGAAGTTGATAAAGTGAGGTATATATATATATATACATACACATGTATATATATATATATATATATACATACATACATGTATTTGTAAATATATATAGTACATATACATATGTGTATCCATAAACATTGATGTCAAACTCAGTCAAAAATACCGGATACCAACATATGGACTTCAAACAAAAAAAAATAAAAAAAGTCTTCTTAAAATGTTAGTTTTAAAAAATTAACTATAAATAAATTGAACACTTCTGTTGAACTTTCCAGAAAAGAATTCAATGCATCGATTCTAAAACAAAAATTCTACTTTGCAGACTTTCAAGTTTTGATAGCTTGATCAATTTTCATGGCGTTTAATTAGGAGGATATCATTGAAGAACTTAAATAAGATTATTAACGAATGGTTGATAGATGATACTTCATACATATCAAGTCAATAACAATATTTCAATTTACATTTCTAGACTTGTTCAGGTTTAAAAATGCAACAAAAAGTTTTTAATGAGGATAGCTTGGAAGAATATTACTTGACTCGATCCATTCATTCATAATTCATGACACGTGAAACACACGGGCAGCTTCCACTCAGGCAAAGCAAACATGCATGCATGCATGCACTCATTAAACTTTCTCATCGTTCCAAAACACAAAAGAATTTTTTTAATTTTTTTTTTCAAACAAGAAATTTTATTGATCGGACCAGCAATTAGAGAAAATCTAAATTGTCACGTAGTGAGTGGAGCTTAATTTCCATGAGGAGATATCGTTCCCACCTGCTTTTTTACCTGGTTGAGGAGGAATTTTTTCAATTTTACACTCGACGTGTTCGCCATTTGTTGTGGCGTTCGTTTGTGTTGTTGTTGTTGTTGCTCTGTGTACAACTACTGCAAGACTTTCAAGTTTTGATAGCTTGATCAGTTCGAGAATTTGAGACTGTTCATGTGATAAATGTTTTTACAAGTATTTGCTTCTCTGGTCAGCTGCTTCAGGAAATGAATGAATTGAAAATATTGAATAGATTTTTGAAGTCGTTTTTTCAAATGAAAACGCGAATTGGCAGTTACTAGTGCTATATATGCTAACATTCACACCGTATTTGTAAACGTTCAAATTTAAGCAAATGGATCAACTATATTTTTATCGGCATCCTTCTGTCATCTCAATAACAATATAACATTAAAGGTTAAAGGTTACTCTCTCTCTTTTGCGTTAGCTTCAGAGGTTTCAACGACAAACACACACAGCGTATATGAATACGCGTGCAAACCACGCATCCTACACATTGCATATGATAGGCGGGGATCTCTTTGTATTCGAACCCAGTCATTGCAATAAGCACGACCAGGCGCCTTTAACCATTGAGCCATCACGCCGCCCATTATGACGACGATGATGATAAAGATGATGATTATGATAATGATTATGATGACGATGGTGATGATGATGATCGTTTAAGCTTGAATCAAGTTCCGTTCTAGTAAAGAATAACACAAATGAAATCAATATTATTGCTATCCGGTTTAAAAAAAACCTTGGGTGAATGAGTATTGAAGTATTGAATAAATGTCGCGACGAATCATTGAAAACGCTCAAAAGTGCTAGACGGTAGGTACGCTTTCTCATTCTGGATGAAAGCACAGTAAGTCAGGTGTGTTGTTTGTCGTTCTGTAGGTCACGTGGTGATGTGTTAGTTGCCTACCATCGTCTCACGACATCCATTTTGCTGGTGTAACCTGGCGAAATTACTCTTCATCTTCGAAATAAACACCATTCTGGACATTATTGTAATGATGTATATCAGACGCGTTAAAAATTGCTATGATTTATTTGTGGATTAAAAAAACGCCAGCATTTGAGAAACTTTTGGCTAATTTTTTCACAAATTCGTAAAATTATCTTATGATTTATGAATTCATTAAACTTGTTTTTCTACTTAACATTTTTATCTGCATCAATTTTGAAAAATTTAAATTATAAAATTTCATCAATTCATGTTTAACGCAAATTTAACAGAAACAATTGTTAAGTTTAGGTTATAACGTGAGGTCAACCAAACTTAATTTCGTAGCGTTTAATAATAAGTTAAATTATTTACCTCAATCCACTTTTAATTTTTTTTTAATTCAGGTAATGTAAACAACACACCTGTACATCACTTTATTTAATTTCAATCATTTGCTTACCGAAATGAATGGAATAAGATAACTTTTTGGTAGAAATATTTCAGCAATAATAAATTTATGTTTTTAAAATGAAACTGGACAAATTTTCATCCGTTTTTATGTATTTTGTTTTATTTTTTATTTGCTTATTCGATCAAGGTATGTACATTTAGTTAGTTTTATTTAGTCTTTTAGATTTAGTTAGCTGTTAGATTTACTTTAGGAAAATCTTTTTATTTTTAAATTTTTCAATCAATCCACTAATTCTAATTAGTAATTATACTAATTATACTTTTGAATATTTGTTTATACTTGTATTTTCGTACTTAGTAGCTAGCATGTTTACATTTTCTTGTTAAATGAAACTTAATTAAAAGGTAAACTGTTTTTATATAAATATTGAATTATAATATTATATTATATTTATAATAATTAAATAATGTCATTTCATTGCAACACTCTCTATTAAAAATTTAAAATTAATTTAGACTAAAACCTACAATGAAAAAATGTGAAATTTATTTTTTTTTGAGCCAGAATGGAATTCATTTCACTCTATTAAAATTTATAACTAATTAATTTAAAAAAAAGTTCAAAATTGACCACATTAAAAATTTAACTTCCTAAAAAACCACCTTTCAGTTTCATCTCTGGAATGTTACAAATGTTCGAACAACCACAACAACTGGATGGACTGTACGAGAGACAAAGTTGAATGCAAACCTTTTCAAGATGCATGCACTTCATTCGTTTCTTTTCATAGTAAGTTGTTCATTTGTTTGTTTGTTTGTTCGTTCGTTTGTTCATTCATTCATTTGTTCATTAGTTTGTTTGTTCCTTTGTTTGAAAATTTTACTCCAGTCAACAAAAATAACTGCTCTTTGGCTATTTTGTAGTTTTATAGTTAATTATCACATTTAAAATTAATTTTCAATAGTTTTCAAATTTTATTAGTAATTTCTTCACCGCCAAACTATCAATCATCTTTATCACTGACTTACATTTTATTAAACATTCAGGATTTCTACAGTACCATCCAAGAGGGGAAAAGTGGCACAACATATCAAAAGGTTGGTTAGCTGGTTGGTTGGTTGGTTGGTTGGCCAGTTGGTTGGTTGGTAAATTTCAAGTTTAGAGACGCCATCATCGTTATTATCATTAAAATCACCGTGATCAACGTCAGCAAGTTGTCGTTCCTGCGTTGCAATGGGTTTGAATGCAAGAGACCTACCGAGCACATGTCTTTGTTGCGTGGTCTCGCACGTGTCTATTTTGCGTTGTCTCGCGCATAGGCGGATGCTTAGGCAACGTAACATGTTGGTGGGAAGTTTAATCCAAGTTGCATTGTAGCCTTTTGCATCCATTGCATTTTTAATGATAACTGGCCATCACGCCACCGAACAAATTGAAAATTTTTCGTTTTTCATTATCACTGGCATTGTCATTATGAAAAATTTTAATACGAAGCTCTGGATCATCATGAACATCATAACAACTCACTCATCATCACCTGACGAGCAGGCTGTGACACGATGGAGAGGTGTGAATATCGAGCTAACGTCGTCAACCAACCTCTGTGCGATCGATCGAGCTACAACGAATGGGCGTGTGTTGAGTGTTGCACAGGAGACCTTTGTAACTACTTCGTGACTGTTAGTGCATCTTAATGTTAATCGCTTCACTACTTTCTCAGTCTTGCTACATCGCATTACTTACCATATCGCTCAGAAGGGTCGTCGAATGCAATGTAACAGACAGAGCATAACGTAGTACTTTTTGTGAAAGTTAGACTGCAGGGAACACTTTGAATTCAAATTCAGTTACTGCAACACAAATCAGGCGTTTTTACTGCCTAATCATTTCATTTCACCTATCGTTTTGGTACATATTACTGTACGTAAATCGCTAGAAAGCATCTTTAAACGTGTGAACCTAATAAGTTGACTTGTAATGTATTGATGAGTGAATGTTTCTATATTGTATTTGTATTTCTGTGTTTGTACTTGGAACATCTAGTATAAACTTTACCTTTTAAATACGTTACGTTCAACCATGTTCGACTGATGGACGCCTACTAAAAACACTATAAGACGCATTAAACTTGTTAACAATTACGATTGATCTTTCATTATTACATCTCGTACATTCAGCTAGGAGCGCCAACAGACCACAAAATGAGGATCGTCTCATTGCTCTTATGCCTCTTTCTCGTCCACTTCATCTTCAACGGCTCCGTGCGAACTCTACAATGCTGATAACTCTACGCACTGTTGTACTGTAAAAGCATTATTCCATCATTACATCAACTATGTTATGTTATTATATCATTTTTAAACACTTTTTATTTTATTTTCACTCTTTTCAAATAAAATTAAAAACTCTGAGTTTCAAATTCTATCATTATCGTCGAGCAGCAGCAAAACATTATGCTAGGGAAACCTCGCTTCAAAGGCATCCAGAGCTTCTTACAATCATAAAAAATCACTAGAACAACGAGACAACTAAGACAACATTAAGTAACATTACATTAATGATACGAAAGTTACAGCGTGTAAGGTTACAATAAGTAGGTAAACTCCACTTTGGACCCAAAAAAGTTGACAACTACACAAAAAAACATCTATGCAAGGAGAACTGTGGTTTGTGTTGGCGGGAGCGACCACACACGACGGCTGCAGTTGGTAGTGGGGTGGATTTGAGTGTCGTTAATTTAAATGGAAAGATGTCCTGCCCATATTTTTTTTGTACGATCCCATTTTGACCACGTTTCATTCCTAAATATAAGGAAGATTGCAAATTTAAAAAAAAACACATTTTCTTTCATATTAATTTTCATGTATTTATTTTATCTAAAAAAATCTAGAATAAAATGGGTATTGTATAAAAAAGATCAACGAAGCTAAGGTTCTCACTGCACATGATGTAAGTTAGGGACTAACTATTAATAATTAATATAACAACGACAACGTTAATAAATAACTGTATTGATAAGAACATTAACCCGAAATATAATAATAATAAAAGTAACATTATTAAATTGTGTCGCATGTGGGCGTGTGTGTTCATGTGTGTGTGTGTTCACATGTGTGTGTGTGTGCGTGCGTGTATGTGCATGTGTCTATGATGTGAATGTATGTTAATGTTATGAAATTGTTCACAAGTCTACAAGAATGCATGGAAGGTTGGTTGAATGTATTACTGAAGAAACAGTAAACTACTAAACATACATGATATATTATATTTGAAAAATGTCTATGCCGTTTGGTTGAAAATGTCTATTGTTGAAAAATGCGATGTGCTCAAATATATGTATGCCGTCAAATCAATATTTTACTACAGAGAGAAAGAGAAAGAGAGAGAGAGAGAGAGAAAGAAAAGAAAAGAAAGAGAGAGGGAGAGAGGTATCAAATTAATCGATAAAATTGATAAAAAAAAAACTGGCACAGACTGACAGACCGATTAGATGGACAGACAGACAGACAAACTGATAGACAGAGAGAAATCTATCAGTTAGAGTTCAGTAATTATTAGTACATTTAATCACAATTTTCGAAATCAAGTTTGGTATTGTATTCAAATGAAACGTAAAATAAGAATGACAACTTTATTAATGAATTCACTATAAAGTGCGTTCCTCCACCATTCATACGTCATTAAGCAAGACGAACTTTTAAATGAAAAAATTGTTTTCTTCTAAAATAAAAAAGTTATTAAATAAATTGAAACACGATCAATACGATATAAATATTACGTTTGTAAATAGCAAGTAGGTAAGTTCGTTGTGTGTATATATAAACGTCTCAGATATGCTGCAGGGAGAGGTTCATGAGATTGTAGATGTCAAAACAAAATGTCATTTGAAAATACAATTAGTTCACACATACACACCAAAGCATGCAACGCAGTACACGCAATTATATACACTAACAAAAAGCCAATGAAAATATATACACACTCGTACACATATCACACATACATACAAACACACATAATAAAAATAGATTCAACAGAAGTACAACAAATTGGAGAATAGTAAAACCGTGCACTGAGAAAATATTCATTAGGATGTAATAAATAAAAATTTTTTTGAAACGATCTTGAAATATAAACAAAGTAATTAATAAATAAAATTAAAATAGTAGCATTTCTTCATGAAAAGATATAATTGAATAAAATTAAACGAAATGACCAGACTTGCATGACTAACAAAAATGCATATTGCACAGGATGGTGAAAGAAAAATAAATTAATTAAATAATCAATTAATCATTAAACAAATAAATAAAATAAATGAACAAATGAATAAATAAATAAACAAACAAAATTTAAGCCAAATAAATTATGCTAAATTTAAATCAGCAAAAGCTTTCATACAGACTGAAGATACCGACACCACAAATGAACGATCACGATGAAAATATTAAAATCCAACTCCAGCCAGTCAGTTCAGCATTAACTCAGATGGAAAAAAATGTGACAAAAATATTATCAGGTAAATATCTGAAATGAAATTAACTTCTTAATGTGACTTTATATAACCCTTTGCCAGATTCAATCATGTATCATCATAGCTGGGTAAATTAATATATAAATTTGTGTGTGTGTGTGTGTGTGTGTAGAGATGTGTGTGTGTATGTGTGTGTGTGTGTGTGTGTGTGTGTGTGTGTGTGTGTGTGTGTGTGTGTAGAGGTGTGTGTGTGTAGAGGTGTGTGTGTGTAGAGACTTTATCAAGAGTGTAATAAATCTAGAACAATATCCGATACAAGAACCAACCACGCAACGAACAAGGTAGGTAGTGTGCGCGCGAACAAGAAGCACGTAATTAGGACTACCAAATGTCTAAAATAAAATTGCAACTACTGGTAATATGATAAAACATCAATGACATCACAATAACATCATAATGACATCACAATAACAACATCATAATGACATCACAATAACAAAATCATAATGACATCATAATGACATCATAATGACATCATAATGACATCATAGTAACACGATGAATAACATTTTTCGCTGTATTAGCAGCAATACGACGTAGTATTAACTTTCCAATGTTCACTGCCAGCCAAATTCAACAGTATATTTTTGGATATTAAATAAATTTGCTGGGAAATTATTGACATGAATAAAACAACAACGACAATTGCGTTCTTAATATATTTACACATTAACAATGATAACATTATTATATTAATACATTAACATATTAATACATTAGCATATTAATACATTATGATATGAATATATTAACATATTAATACATTAACAAATTAATACATTAACGTATTAATACATTAACGTAATAATACATTAGCATATTATTAAGTTAACATTTTTATACATTAACATATTGATACATTAACATTTTAATACATGAACATATTAATACATTAAAAGATTAATATCTATGACAATGTAACCAATAAATTATCACAAAACTACCAACACCAATCACACAAACGTGCATTATAACAATGGTACTGCACTGATAAGACTCGATAGACACATAAAAATCCAACCCATTCAAGTCCTTTAAATGTGACAAATATTAGTGAAAACCAATAAATGCCCATAGAGCTACGCCAAATTAACTCTGAAGAGATAGACTAAAGATTAATTTAGTTTTCAGCAGAGAAATAAGAGCGAGTTCAAACGACATGATAAAATAAAATTTATCATAAAAACGGTTGACACGTTCTAAAATGATGATCTGACCACATCCTGTAAAATGACATGCCGGTCCATATATAAACGGTCCATATATGGATAATGATGATAAAAATAAAAAATAAATTAAATAATAATAATAATAATAATAATAATAATAATAATAATAATAATAATACCCAGCAAAAGATAAAAGACCAAACGTGCGACAAGAACACCAACAAATACCAAAAAATACGAATACGTTCTTCTCTTGTGAAACAGTTCATCTCAGCAGTGTCATCAAACCAGGCGCACTGGCTCTGTCGTTGGTCGAATGTAGGTCAGTGCAGAGGCTATTTATTGAAATGAGGTCAACTTCGGATGTTTCATCTTTGTCATGGGGACCGTGTTTTTCAGTGTTAACGTTTTTCTTCAACTCAATCACTTGTAAGGTGAATTTCAAGTTATCGCCGATATTGCTCTTATTATCGACCCCACTTTTATTGTTGTCATTGTTGTTATTGTTGTTATTGTTGTTATCGTTGTTACTGTTGTTATCGTTGTTATCGTTGTGACTGTTGTTATTGTTGTCAGTTTCGTTGTTAGCATTGTTAGCTTCGAAATTAGAGTTGTCGCTACTATATTTATCATCAATGATGTTTTTGTTATTGTTGCCACTACCACCACCACCACCACCACCACCAACATCATTATCATCATCATTATCATCAGTTTTTTCCTTGGATGGGTTGCTAGCGTGTGGTTCTTCAACATTCACTCGCATCACAGAATCATCATTTGATGGAGGAGACAGATGTGATGATGATGATGATGGTGGTGGTGTTGATGATGGTGGTTGTGCGGGTGCTGATGATGATAGCGGTAATGACGCAGTTGGTTGAGATGTCACAGGCAATTGAGAAGATAATGGTGATGATGGTGATGATGATGGTGACGCCAAAGAAAATGTTGAAGTTATTGGCACAGTGGTCACCTGGATCTGATGAGGCGGTGATGGGGAAGGGGGTACTGCAACTGGAAGAAATGATGACTGCTGAGAAGATGATGGTGGTAGTTGTGATGATGATGGTTGCAATGATATCAAAGATAGTGATGATGGTGGTGGTTGTGATGATGGTAGTGGTTGTGATGATAGTGGTGGTTGTGATTGTGATGGTGGTTGTGATGATGTTGGTGGTTGTGATGATGATGGTGGTTGTAATGATGATAGTGGTTGTGATGATGATGGTGGTTGTGATGATGATGGTGGTTGTGATGATGATGGTGGTTGTGATGATGATGGTGGTTGTGATGACGGTGAAGATTGTGAT